TTACCCACGTACCATCACCTTATGACATGGTGTAAGCTCACTGGATCTCTTAGAGGGGGGGGGGGGGGGGGGGGCAGTGGGGGGGGGGGGGGGGGGGGGGGGGGGGTGTTACAAGTATAAAAATGTGGCCTAAAGTACATATATAATGATATTTTCTTTTGTAGGTGTGTCTTACAACTCTGTGATGCACGGTTTATAGTGTCATATCACCATTTTACTTACATGTAGCTGCATCTTCTCACATTTTTATCAAGATCTCCATTGAGTCTTATCGCCTACTGCTGCTGTGCATGTCTGCATATTTCATAAATGTGTGTTGATGCTTCATTTCTGCATGCATTCTGCATTTCTTCTGTTGCTCTGCTTTCAAAACATCTCCTAGCCACCAAAGTTGCAAGTTAACCAGCCAGCTAACACTGGCACATTCACAGCCATGTTAATACATGTGCATTGTCCTCATCAAAGAGTAAATAAATGACATTTTTATGACTTTACTAATTGATAATCCAGCGGTGGCAGACGGTGCCATGGCGGTGCCAGCATCAACAACAGTGCACAGGACGTTTGCAGCACCTGGCGGCAGCTTACTATACTTTATCAGTGAGTCAATGTACAGCTCATGTTCATATCATATGCTATGCTTTAACATAGTTTAAAATCACATAGTTGTGATGCAACATACATCCCATTCAGGGGTGTTAAAGAAGACCCAGAAGAACACACGGCACGACAAAGCCTCGGAGGGAGCCTCAGTTTGCAGCTAGCTGTGTCTCCTCCATATTGCCTTGGCGTTAGCAGCACCTCCTGCCCCTCACACACTCCTGTGGACGTCTGTCGGCTATAACAATGATGCTGTCCGGTGTGAAACGTGACTCCTGAGCTAACTAGTGTCCGTCCCCATTGAAAACATGCACATTAACGGCTAGCTAACGTCAAGACTCGTGCACATCCAAACGTTACCGAGACACGTTTGGAGGGAGGAGGGAAGACAAAAATTAAAACTCACCGGTGACTTACAATTTAATATATTTTTTCTAAACTTCCACCCGAAGTGATATAAAACAACACGGTGGTCTTTGCGTCGTGATTGTGTATCGATAACGTCGCTGTTTGCCTTGATTTGTAGGTAAACACAGAGCCGCTAGCTTGACTACACTCAACTGTATCGTTTCCGCCCCTTTGTCTGGAAGCAGAGAAGAAGAACAAAGTGCACTCCAGTGGGCCGCGCAGCTTCACTGATCTCAAACCATGTAGATTGACTCATGAAGGTAACCTGATACAGTGGAGCTGCGCGTGTGTGATGTGTAGATCTGTTGCTGCACAGTGTGAGCAAACGGCGGACTGGCTCAACGGAGCGGTCCTCTCTGCATTCATACACACAGCTGATAAATCAATACCACATGTACACTAGATCAACTGTACTTTATTTGTACTTTTCTGATCCCAAAGGAATGTGACCAAGTACATTTACTCAAGTGCTGCAAGTCTCAGTTTCATACATTTAATTTACCCTGTTAATCAGTTTTTTTTTGGTTTTTTTAAAAAAAAAAATTAAAATTTATTTAAAAGGGACAATGCACATTAATGAACATCAGTAAAAACAGTGTAAATGTGCCGACGTTAGCACAACGCTAATTCACATTCGGAGTCCCTTGGCAGGTAACAAAAATACACAATTTAAGTAGGAAGTAACAACAATAAAAAACAGGGGATTTCACATTCAAACATAGCAGCTAATGGGTCTATGAAGTGCAAAGTGCCAATTTACAGTATCAGTTTTTTAAAGTGCATGGTTGCCTATTTAAAGTGCGTAATATGAAGTAGTATACTATATAAATAAATCTGTTCGCCCAGTTGGGTCAGTCCATTCCTGTCGCCTGGAATAGGCCAAGCCACTGGGGTTCTGCTAATCAGTACCGTATAAGAAAACCAAACATACAATACAATCAAATTTGACAAGGCAGAAAACATTCAGGACACAAAATACAAAAGGGATGAGTGTATGATAATTGAAGAGAAATGTGGTGCAGGTCTGCACTCATACAGACACGCACCACATAACTGTACAGATTAGTGATGATTACAATGTTGATTGGTTTTAAGCCAGTTTTTGAGATGAGTTTTGAATGTACCAAGTGTGGGGTATTCTCTTATTGTGCCAACCGCCAGAAAATGTAGAAGAAGAAGAATGCGAGACTTGTTTTGTTTCTGGTTCTGCGGAAAACTCACGCAAGTTCGTAGTGTTTCCATTAAATGTACGGACTTTCGGGAAAACTACGAACTTGCACGAGTTTTCCGCAGAACCGGAAACAAAACAAGTCTCGCATTCTTCTTCTACTTTTTCTGGCGGTTGACAACCAGCTTGTAAATGCATTACCGCCTTCCTGACCCGGAGTGTGGATATCACCATGGAGAGAGGTGCGCTACATCAGACTTAATTCAAACATAACTGTTTCCATCCCCCGTTTTGCGAATCAACATTTTTTTAAATCAACCAAAACCCGGCTAAAGCGAGCGTATTTTAGTTTGTGCGAATCAGGGGATTTTAATTCGAATTTTGGCGTTTCCATCATAATTTTCCGACGCAATACTTCTAGATACGCATCTAAACAAGCTTGTGCAAGACCATGAGACATGGGCACCGCCTTCATGTGTGTTCACGTGCTTTCGCGCGCATGCGTGAGCACGGTGCACAGAGAGGCAGTTAGAGCTACAGGCTACAATGAGGCTAAAAACAGAGTTCAAATGAGGTTTTTCCAAACAACTTTTTATGTCGGGGCTTCAGGACACTTGGATCACTACGGACGAGCAGTATGGAGATATTTTGTGGTTTCAATTATGTGTTTTTGGACGTTTGAATCTGGGGCGCCGTCAGCCTCCATTAGGTGGAGTTGTGTTGCTACCTCCTCTCCCCTTGGATCTCCACAAGTGTTGCGAGGACTCTAAAACTTCACCTGAGCTTCCCTCGGCATATGGGTGAGTAGATAATGGCTGAATTTTCACTTTTGGGTGCACTATCCCTTTAATGGCAAGGGAAACTTCTTTATGAATTTGTTGATTTTGTATGGAAAATATTATGTTCACAAATGTAAATGGTCTCAAAGGAAACCAAGGATACAAAAATAGAAATTCACCACTATATTCAAACACTACACCAAAGCTCAAAGAACATTGGACATATATAGGACACTGAAAACCTCTGTGTGACAGTTATGAACTGAAACCCCTCATGTACATATGTGTATATATGCATAGTTCTTTGTTTGTTTGTCTTGTTTGTTTATTTATGTTAGGTGTGTAAATACTGGACATGCATGGAGTGAAATAAAGGGAAAAAAAGTCTAAATTTCAACTCAACTTTATGTATATAGCACCTTTCATACAAACATCAGCCCAAAGTGCTTCACATGACAAAACTGGAACCACGCAGACACAAGACAATAAAATATTTAAAAAGCAAAGCAACCAAAAGAAAGCAAACTAACAAAATAAGATGAAAATAAATAACACCCTCTTTATACTTATACTCCACCACATTTCAGGGGGAATGTTTTTTTTTTTTTACTTCACTAGAGTTACAAATTAAGATTTTCACATACAAAACATATGAAGAGGTTTTAAAATATTATGTTTTTTGAACAAATTAAGCTACAGTTTATACAAGTACAGTTGAAACAGTTAGTTGACTGACAGAAAATTAAAGGGATAGTTCAGATTTTTTTGAAGTGGGGTTGTATGGGGTACTCATTCATAGTCAGTGTATTACATACAGTAGATGTCAGTTGCTATGCCCCTAGTTTGGAGAAGCAGGCTGGAGTCCAACACAGAAGCTTAGCAATGCACTGCTGTGAGTGGGGTCAGCAAAAACACATTTTATCTACTCAAAAAAAATCTCACCTGAAAAAATCCACATCAGTTTGAGTGTGTGCTATAGTCAGAATATTTTTACTGCTTTATCTTACTGTCAGACAGTGATTTTCAACAAGAAAATTAAGTCATTATTTTGCTTTCTTCCAAACCAGACTCCATAGAGAAAAACAGTAATTTAACATTGCTGAACACAGGAGCTGCTGCTCTACTGCTGCCTCCAACAGTTATTTTATTTATCTTATTGTGTGACTCTGGCAGTTGAATGGTTTAGTTTGGATTCACCACCAAAGTCACACAGTAAAACAAACTAACTAACTGATCACGGCAGCAGTAGACCAGCAGCTCTTGTGTTCAGTGAGCTAAAATTGCTGTTTTTGTCAATGGAGTTTGGTGATTTTGACGAGAGCATAGACAGGGAAGTTGTTAATGGCTTCCCCATTGGGACAGGCTGTCTGATGGAAAGGTAAATCGGTAAAAAATACTCCCAATATAGCATACACTAACACTAATATTAGGTGGAACTTTTTTCAGGTGGCTTAAATTAATTTTGTTGCTGCCTCCCACCCACAGCAGTACATTGCCTTGCTTTCATGTCAGACTCAGACATGGAGACATGCCTGCCTCTCCAAACTAGGAATGTGCTGACCGACATCAACTGTATGTAATATACTGACCATGAGTAAGTACCTCATACAACCCCACTTCAAAAAAATCCAAACTATCCCTTTAAACATAAAGTATTTTGATGGTTTAAGTCATTTTTTATGTAAGAACATTTAATGGTTTCAGCTTCACAAATAAACAACAGTAGTTTTACATTAATGCATGAATTATAATAATAATAACAATAACAACAATAAGAATGATAATAATAATATAATGACGTAATTTATAGACTAATCGTAGGCCTATTTGAAACAGGGACATTTTTCTACTTTTAAGATTTTAAGTACATTTTCCTGATTATAATTGTTCACTTTTAATAAAATAACATTTTCTATAAAGTATTTTTACTGTAACAGGATATTTTCATATAGTATAATTAGTTCTTTAACCTAAGTCAAGAAACATTTCTTCCGCCACTGGATATGGATCGATTTCCACAACTATCTATTATGATTCTGTTTCTTCCGAGATGACAGTGAATGCAGCACTTGTGCCTTCGTCACTTCCTGAACAACATCTTCCTGTTAGAAATGGCGGCGACCTTGTGTGTGAAATTACTACCGAAACAGGGTAATGTAGATTTAATACTGCATTTCTGACGCTAGCTATCTGTCTGTAATGAGTTAGTACTTTATTACCTGTTTTTATAGAACTATTTAAAGCTAACAGTGTTAGCTGCGCTTCAGTTTAACAGCGGTTTAGATAAGCTAGCTGTGTTTAGTTAGCCGGTGTTAGCACGGCTGCCTCAGGCTTGTCTGTTATGTTAGCAGATGTTAGTCTTTTCTGTTAAATAAACTAAATAACAAAATACATATTTCGTATACAGGGGGGTAGTATACAATTAGAACCATATCAAAAGAGCCAGGGATATATCAAACCAGACAAAAATATTATAAATCATACCGATATTAAGAGTCATGCTAGCTTGTTTGTTACTCGAATTTTAAAGTAGTTTTTCATGTTGCCGAACATCCTTTATAAAAACGATAAGATAAGCGATTTTATTGCTAAAGTTACATTTATAGAAGAACAAAGTTGCCAACATCATTATTTAATTTAATGGGCTTTTTTCTTGAGTTTTTGAAGAAACCAATCACCAAGTCTTTAAAGATAAGATGAAAGACAAATCTGCTAAGGTCTTGCCAGATGTCTAGCTGTAAAAATAGGTGTAAAACTTGCTGAATATCATCATAGAAAGAGAAGTGTATGTTTGTCCTTTTTTTATATGTGGCAGGTTAGCATTTATGAATAATTTTGAAGGATACCTCCCAACCTTCTTCTGATATATATCATTTATAAACCCATGTCAGTGTGGAAATGTATGACTAGGAAAGACATGTATTTTGCTGCAGGCCGAACTACAGTCCTATAAAGCAACAAGCTGCCTGTTGCAATGGCATCAAAAGCTACAGCAAATTCCTTGAGGTTGCAAATTTGTATGTAGGTAAGAATTCTCTGTACAGCGAGTGTTTAACACATGTTGTGTCTTTCAGGATGGCTTCCCCTGACACAGAGTGTTCGGCACGGCTCCAAAGCCGTGACACGCCACATGCGACCAATGCACTTCCTCAAACAGAAGCTCATGGCTGTCACACAGTACGTTCCTCCCAAACGGGTCATTCCTCGAGGAGCCTATCCATCCAAGAGCAAACACATGCAGGAGGTAACACTCATCCCCTTCTCATCTTTCCTCTGACACACATAAAGAGCCAAGAGCTGATATATTGGATAAGGCTGCTAGTGAGTTGTTGGATTGCCAGTGCTGCATATCATGTGTTCACTACAAGTTTATGGACACCAAAACATTTTATTCCAAAAGCATGGACATTAATCTGCTGCTATAGCGATAGTTCCCAGTCTTCAATTTTCAGACACTCTTTCATTAAAGATAATCCAGGAACTCTAATGTCTGATGAATACCGTACTCTTTCAGTAGTTGCATGTTTATGACTGTAACACTGTCTTGGAGTTAGATTGATTTGAGACCTGATAATACCTGCCAGTTTCATCAGGATTTAGAGTCTACAGCTTTCCCCCTCAAACTAAGGTATCACAACAAGTAAAAAAGTTTTGCTGGTATGAATATGAAAACTCAGGTATCACATTGGCATTAATATAGCAGAAATTCTGATGATATCTTTAGACTAAATACATTGCCGTCATCCTTAAACCTTGTGCACTCATTGGAGCAGTATTCACACCATGGCTGATAATAGAATGAAGGAGGGACCATTGTTTTTCCTTGTCTCAGACCGTAGGTTAGAAGCTCCACTTCATATGAGACACTCTTTTATTCCTCCAGGATAGTCCGTTCATGTTAATGATGAAGAGGAATGTGAAAGCCGTGTTCCAGGAGTCTAAGATGATCGCTGTGGTCCAGAACAACGGCAGTAACTCTGAGGACATGATGATTCTCAGACACAGACTTCATAAACATGGCATCACTGTCAAGTTCTTCCCCAACCAGGTAATAATAGAATTGTTTCATCTGTGGTGTTTATGTGTTTGTTTCCAACAGATGGACTCTCTGCCATCAGAAGACTTGTTGGTTACTAGTTATTGTTTTGTTTATCAGGAGATATTACATGCAATTAGGCGTTAAGTGGTTAAACTCCTGCCTTAAGCCTAGTTCACATGACACGATTTCCACCCTGATTTTGTGTCGCGGAGACTATCGTAATCTTTTAAGTGTTCATACCTGGCGACGTGTGTTTCTGTCAGTGGGAGTCTCCCCAACTGCGTTATGACCTGTGTGTGCACACCACAAGATTTCTCCACCGAGCCCTCGCCGACTGAGCCCCAGATAACGCGGTGACGTCACCAAACTACATTTTTTAACTTGGAGACGACACATCGTAAAGGCATGGATAATTCTTCCCAGTGTTGCATCAGATCTGCCTCCAGGGCCTGGGTCCAAACACTACGCGCTCCCCGTGATCCTGTGGACGCCGCCATTGTTGTTGTTGCTTGCCGGCTTGACTCGTCCTCCTCACATTTCTTCCGTCCTACTGCGTGCTGATGTGGGACGTATCCCGCCTCTCATTGGCTGATGCTCTTTGTCAGTCGTGTCACACTTCTCCAGTTTTCTAGCATGCCAGATATCCAGTCCCAGTCACAGACGAGGGGGCGACTTGCTCGTAGGCTTGTTCAAACATGAGAACTCGTTGTGGCAGACTATCTGCCGACTCACCTCCGACCCAAGGTGGCTCTCAAGATCCTCTGCGACGTCAGAATCGTGTAATGTGAACTAGGCTTTAGTCTCACTTAATCTATTTCCACAAATGAATTTCAGGCTGTGAAACATGCATCATCTCTGTAGCTGCTGCTTATTAGTAAAACAGCCACTAAGAACGTGACTGAGATCTGTTTCCTTTACGTAAAACACATATCATGCCAAACAACTCTGAAACCCTGAAATCTTAGTTTCTTTTTTTATCTTAGTTTGTCCTAATCTTTAATCGTGCTTTCTTTCAGGTGATGCGGTCCTTCCTAAAAGACAGTGTTTACTCCAACATGGCTCCTCTGTTCCTCTGTCCCACAGTTCTGTTTGTGAGTAAAGAGACAAAAGTGAAGGAGATGCTGGTGACTCTGAGGGGCAGCCCACAGATGACACTCCTGGGTACGTTTATTCTCTGTGTCTGCATGCAAGGAAGAACTTTGTGAGGGAGAGTGATCATTTTATAATGTTTGCTGCAGACTAAGATTGCACATACATGACATGATGCCTCAGGAACTTACAAACTTGCATAAAAATTGTGTGTCTATAAATGCTTTATTTCATTTGGGTTTTGATTGTGATTTGGGTTTTTTTTTGCTGAAGACAATTTATTAGCAGTGTAGTAACAAAATACTAACAAACAGGAACTTAATTTCATGTCCTAAAAGTGTGTTTGCATCAGTTTAAGAGAGAGAACTAATAAAGCTTTAAAATAAAATGCAGTTATACACAAATTCATTCACATAATTACTAAAATGAAATTATGAAATTCATATTTTACACATCTGAATCTCATTGCATTTAACTGAAAAACATATTGAACAGACAGTGACCACTGAACCATTGCTCCCCTCTCAACAGGAGCCTGTATAGACAACACGTTGCTGAGTGCACAGGGGGTGGTGAACTACTCCAAACTATCCTCAATGACCGTCGTCCAGGGCGAACTGGTCGGCGGGTTGACAATGCTGACCTCCCAAACAGCCTCCATGCTGCACCGCCAGCCAGCCCACCTGTCCGCCCTCCTGCAGCAGTATGTCAAACAGCAGAGCTCGGAGAGCGGCGCAGAGGAAGCGTCTAAAGCAGAGGAGGCCTCGTAGAGCTGCGGAGGGAATGACTGGGACCTTCACCTTGCAGATTTCCAGCTGCTTGGAATTACGAGGGACGGATGGGTTGGATGCATATTTAGAATTTGTTGTAAATCAGCACCAAAGTTCCACTTCAAACTTTTAAGATTCGTCCTAAAAAAAAGTTGGTGGCCACGATCTTAAAGTTTGACTGGAGCTAAATTCAACTCAGTCATTCAATGTGCATCCACCTGTGGGAGCAGTGAGGCTGCTGTGAACGAAGGAGTCTGCAGACTTGACTGATTTTAGTGCATCTCGACCTGTCAGTGGAAGTCTTGGATGGACAGTGCTGCGAAAATGTCAGTGTCACCCAAGCAATACATTTATTTAAGGATATAGTCACACATGAATAAAATATTTCAATACAGTCGGCTGCTCTGTCTCATTTGTTTGGATTTAGGAATTGCAAGATTTGTAAGACGCATTTGAATTTTTAATGTTAGTTTGAGCTACTTGGCATGTTCGCACCGTCAATTTACGTCCACTAAAGGTGCTTGTTTTTGTGACGGCCAGGCTCAGATTGTTAATATAATTTTTGGCAGCATTATGGAAAGGATCCCTACAGAAATGCACCTTTTTGTTTAACCAGTAAAAGCCCCAAAATCTCCATCGCCAAACCCACCAGACTCCATTTATAAAAACATCTTTTTCATCTTCATAAAACACACTTCATTCAAAGTCGACAGAAACAAAATAAAACTTGCAAAAAACATCTTGCGTCGTTTTTCCACTGCTCCGACAATCACCAGCTCTGGTTTGGAAAAATAAACCCTTAATTCACCCAGGTGGATTTGAAAACATGCTGCCTCTATACACGCTAAAATTACTCTTTATTTAAATGGAGTCTGGTGTGTTTGGAGATCACGATCCCGTGGCTGTTTGTGGTTAAACAAAATGGATCTTACTCTATAACAAACAGGTCTATCTCTGTAGGGATCCTCTCCATAATGTTTTGGGACACATAGTATAACAATGTGCGCCTGTCAGTTGCAAAACAAACACTTGTAGTGGACGTGTGTTGATGGTGCAAACACTTCTGAGTGATTGTGTTGCAGCCTGTTTCGCTTTTACTATAGTTTGCTTAATACTGGACCAATTTCAAAAATTGTTTTTCCCTTGAATCACTTAGTCCAAAGGTCGGCAACTTGCAGCTCCAGAGCCACATGCGGCTCTTTGCCCCTCTGCAGTGGCTCCATGTGGCTATGACAATTATACGTACATATTTTCATTTATCACCATTGTAAACCTCAAGAAGTTATTACATTCTCCAACTGTAAAAATGTGCAGCCTATACACCTAACAAGTAAAACGTTTTAACATTTCATCAAGTAAAATGTGCGTCATACATCTACGGCCTCGCACCTTTTCCTCTGAATTTTGCCAAACCTCAGCAGAAGTAGTTCGTCTTGAGTCTACCTAGCGAGGCTAACTATGGATTCCAATTTCTTGTCTTCCTCCTTGAAATACTTCCCCATAACCTCCTCCTGATCTTTGTGTAGTTGAGTCATCATAGGCTGTTTAACTGCAGTAGGTTTCCCTTTGCTCCGCATCTGCTTGCACTTTTGACTAAAGTAGTAATAATATAAAAGCTGACCACACAGTTGCAGGGTTTTTTTTGAATGTTTGAAGGAGGATGGAGGCCAATGTTCTCCATGCCGCTGCCATGACACTGGAAACAAGTGTCTGTGAATACTCCAAATCTATATAAGGGAAAGTCTTGAAGGAAAATAAAGACTTCAATAAAGTATGGACAGGTTTGTTTGCTTTTACCGCCAACTCTACAAAGTTAAGGTATGGAACAATCTTAAAGAGCCCACTGCAGAGTGGCCACCTTGTGGTAAAACAATTAATGAATGCTCATTTAGACCTATTAATGATGTTGACAGGCTAATTTAGACCCAACAGGCTGTGTTACCTTCATGTAAAGATCAAAAATCAGGTTGAAAAATAAGAAAGTTTCCCTTTAAATGCAGAACCTTTACATTTAATTCTGCCAAAGTAGCTGAAGTGGCAGAATTGCTGTAAAGTGGCATCATGAAAACCACTCCAGCCAAAATAAACACAAGTGGTCACAGATCCTGATACGTTAATCTGCGGATTACAGCATGTTAATCTGGGTCAGTTAGTCTATTATGGCCCGCCTCTGTGAGGGAGACAGACTCGGGCGCTCCCTCCAACACCAGACTCCCCTGCAGGAGAGGGGGTGTCCAAACTGAAAACACAGAGATTCAGAAGTAAACATGCACTTTATTGAGAGATCAAAATAATTTGATCTTTTTTATTAACAGCATTTACTCAGTACAGGTTGTCATGGGTACAGAGAAGGTAACAAGTGGTGTGAACACTCCCTTTCACACCCCCAATACACAGACTGACCTCACCAACACCCCTCCACCCCTCTGTCTCTATTCAAATGAACATCTCACACTTTACTGGAGCACATGTTCTTGAGGCTGAGATGCCAACAGATGCTCTTGGTGTGGGAGAGCTCCCAATAGTCAGAAAATTGGAAGAAGATTTGACCTCTGAAGAAACTACAGTTGATTGGAGTGCAGTTTGGAGCAATATCTGGAGTTGGAGTGATGCTAAATAAAGGGTAAAGTATGACTTGGAGTGAATGTTCAACATGATGCTTTTCAAATAATCAGGAACATACTTTCACCTTTAAATATATTTCTAAAGTTACTTATTAAGGCTCTATTAAGACCCCACCCTGTGCTTTACAACAGATTCAACTAGGTGTGTGTAGTGTGTACAGGCTGGCTGCATTTACCCTCCACTACATCCCCGCTAGACGCTGTGTAATTCCAACTAATGCGGATAATGCCCGGGACACATTGCGCACGGCGCGCGCCGCCTGCGACGCACAGCCCTCCTTGGGATTTGGAGGGAGCTCGTGTCACCCACCGGCAGAGAGGGCACGGCGGCTGAGATTATGTGATCACAGTCAGTGATTATCTGTGCATGTAACATGTAGTTTTATCGGTTTTTTTGCTGTCTTTTCGGTGGAAATGTTGATTGTCCTGCAGGTCGTTTGACGCCAAATGAGACACTTGGATTTAAATCAGGCGCAGAGGGCTGCGGGAGATGATGAGAGGCGGAGGTGAAATTCAGGTAAGACTCATTTATACATTTTAAATATTAGCTCGATCAGAAAGAAACTAAAATGTAGAAGTTGGGTTCATTCTGATAACTGTTGCCACCAGAATATTTGATATAATTTATATTATATTAATGTTACATACAGATATCTCTGTCTTGAATGCCCCCTGAAAAAACAGAAGAACGTTTGGTTGAAATAGTCCAAACTTCCACTTGAGTGACATCTTAATTAGCCTTAGATAAGAGCTTGTGCAGCCCTGAATTGTTCCCATGTGCCCCAAAGGACTTGTGTAACATCAACTAAGGATGTGAATCAGACTGGCTGCTCACACTGAATTAATTTCACTTAGATATATCAGTGTAGCTGCGTCCTGATTGCACTTTGTCAGTGCAAACAATCACACTTTTAGAGCTGCTGGAAGTCAGTGTTCTTCTCTCCAGGTGATATAAATTAACCTAAATTATTTCCTCAGCTCTGATTTTGGAGTACAAACATACTGAGTCCTCTCCACACTCATTCATAAATATCTTATCCTCAAGTGATCTTTTATTGGCTGCAGTTTTTATGCCAGAAAATGAGATTACAGCCGTCATAATCTCTGCATTTTAACTCCATCCTCTGGCATGATGCATCCTTCACCTCATTTGATTTGTGTTGTTGGCTTCCATTTCCATATAATGAGCTCAGATACACACACACAAGGAAAAGTGGCATTTTGGACATAAATCATTGTCGATACTTAGTGTGCGTGAAAAGCCTTTTAAAAGCTTTATTGCATTTTAATTTTGATTCAGGATTGAGCTACAGTTCCTAAAAGGGATCAAACTCAGATGCTTTACTATAAATAATAAATTAGATTTTAAAAGGTTTTGCAGAAGCTTTAAATCTTAAAGTATCCTTTGCACTCTTATTTAAAGCTTTGTGGAAAGTGTAACGTAACGTTTGCCGCCATCCAGTGAGACCACTTTTTCTACTTGTAGAATATTCTTGTGTTCCTCCTTGAGTAAGCGAGCTCAGAAACCTGCAAATCCTTTCATCCTGTTTCCACCACATGCTGTCATCACTGAGGTCAGTTACTCTCATCCTCTCCTGCCCTTACGTAACAGCCGGCCGGGCCACTTCTGCCCAGATTTAGAGGGATATCAGTTTGGGTGTAACGTCCCATTCATTTTGGATCCACTGAGATGGCCTATATTCTCACTGTCTTTAAGCCTGCAGTGTGATTATTCTCTGCAGGCTGACGTCACAAATACAAACCATACAGTAACTTCACTACTTGAGTGAATACAGGTAGCTTTGCAAACTAAATGCACACCAGAAAATGTTGCAAATACTCATAAAAAAGCCTAAAATCTTCAGTTTATCCCCTTTTTATGTCTGTAAACTTGTTTTTGAAAACCACATATTGCTACAATCATTTCAGATTCATCTCAGTGAGTAGTTTCAAAGTACTTGATGCTATTTTTTCTCCCTGTTGTCAAGCTGTGACTGTGGTCATCATCTTTGCACTTCTCATGTTGTGTCAGTGCTCTCTGCCTCGTGCTCCTCCATGTCCGAGTGGCTAAAAACATCCCCTGAAAAACCAATTAAGCAGAGGGTGGTAATCCTCTCCTCGCAGGTGGTATTGGCCGTGGCGTCACATACTGTTCAGTGGCTGATACACCAGCGTGGGCAAAATCATGCAGCAGAACAAGAGCCTAAATTAATCAATCAATCATTATGGCATAAAAAAATATGTGTGGTATTTAAATCGCAAATATTTAATGCTGAACAAATTCTCCTACTCGAGATAACAAGAATGCCAATATGTTGCACTGCAGCACCACAAAATATGATCTCAAATTTAGTTATAACCTTTAAAATCATACAGTAGTATTTAATATAGTTTGTTGCATGTCATGGGACATCTGTATCTTTTTGAAGCGCCACACCCACATTCAGAAGCTCTAAGATTAACAGATTATTCTGTGACACAGTAACCACAAGAATGACTCTACATCTTCACAACCTGCTCCTCTTTTTACCTCAAACACGTTACAAAGAAAACGCTTGACAATTGTGTCTATAGTCTCACTTTTATTGCAGAGATAATTCTGGTTTTTAAACTTCAGTTGCTCGTGCAAGAGGATCTGGAGGCAAACTATAATTTAGCTGTATTTGTTTAGAGTTATACCGTCTGAAAAGTCTGTTGTCTGAATTTGGCACTCAGTTTTGTGCTCAGCGTGGGTGACTTTGAGATCCAGTGTGATCTAGATGAAGATCCGGGATGTACGAAGTGCGCTCAGGTAGCTCTGTTAGGTAACTGGATTACTCAGAGTCCCATCTCGTCTCCTGAGCCTGTTTAACACTTTCACTTTGCTTTCTTGCTCGTGGAGCTGTCTCGCCCTCATGGGTCATTATAGAGCTCATTGTAAACAACAGCATCAAACTTAATATGTAGGCCTACAACATTTGACAAAAGTAAGATGTTGAAGAATCTTTACACTGCACCAGTTCATGCGCATTGTATTCTACTCAGGCCATGATGTTTAAGATATGATGATTTACTGATTTGCTGACTGATGATTGAATGGATCAATCATCCAAAGTCATACGTACATCAGAAAAAGATTCCAGCTCCTCAAATGTGATGATTTTCTGCTTTGCTCTGGTGTATAATACTGTAAACTGAATGTCTTTGTTGAGAAAACAATCTCACTACAACAGGTCTATTTAGTAGCTATTCTGGAGCTTTCGATCATATCACGTGGTCGCCATCAGCAGACAGAGTTGGATCCGCTGCGATCATAGGTGTTCAAATTGACATTAACCGGAATATCTTTGGATTTTGAGCTGTTGGCCGGTCAAAACAAGCAAAATTGGAGGTACTATTCACGTCATTAACATATGTTAAAGTAGCAGTACAGTGGCAGTACAGGACAAGATGTACTTAAAGTATCAAATGTTGAAGTTGATTTTATGCAGAGTGGCCCCTGTCAGTGTCATTGGGTCATTATCATTGATGTATTTAAGCAGTACTTTAATGTTGTAGATGGTCGAGGTGGAGCTAATTTTAATCACGTCACACACAGCTTGGTAGTTCAATTTATGATACACTATATTAGAAACTGCTCCTAATGTTCATATGTATGGAATATTTACCTGAAGACAAAGCTTTTATTTACTTTAATTTCACAGATAAACAATAAATTGTGAAGACAATAAACCTAACCTCCACAAAAATAGCATTTTAAGTCTTGTGTGTGATTTATCCTGGCTTCATATGAAGCTAGCTGCTAGGCTAATTTATACAATGTAAAACGCCATATGCTCTTGCTAATAATGTTAGCATGTTGTATTTGTTTGGAAAATGTGTTTACTATAAGACAGTTGTTTTGTCAGTGAACCTTGTGAGTTGTAATGGAGCTGAATTTTGTAACGTTACCTTTGTTAAATGTTGCTGTTGTTCCTGGCTTCATATGAGTAGAGGAAAAGTTCCCTAGCTGCTAGGCTAATTTATACAATGTAAAATGCCATAGGCTGGCGCTAGTAACGTTAGCATGTTGTATTTGTGGGGAAAATGTGTCCAGATAAAGACAAGTGTTTGTCTGTGAATGCTGCGAGTTATAGTGAAGCTGATTTGTGAACTTGTGTTTGAAATTGTCTCTATTAAGCCATGTTTAATGTGTGTTTAATGTGTGTAGTATTTAAAATAACATAACATAACATAACATAACATAAAATAAAATAATGATGGCTAACCCCTCTGATCCTGACACTACAGGGGGCTTGTGGCAGATTGCAGAGGATCTCTCTCAACAACCAGCCAATCACAGTGGGAAGGGGAATCTAAGGTCAGCGCTCTGGAATGGATTCATACGGATCTTCACTCAATCGCAGCCAATCGCTGACAAGCGGCCTGGAGAAGTCTTCACCAACGTGGAAACCGTCCCACTCTAGGAGCAGCAGCACTCTGTCATCTCGCCACTCCAGACAGGTGAGTCACCATTCACCTGAACAAGGGGATTACATGTATGTGCATTGTTTTTCTTCCTATAAGGTCTGACACCGGTCAGAACTCGGATTCGTATCAGTTAATGTTTATATATCAGATAACAGCACTACAGGCTGCCAGAACAAAACTGTTGTAAAAACAGTATACAACATCCTTCTTTCATTTGAGGCCCAAAACAACATCTGACATGTTCTGTTTTATTCTAAATTAAAGACATTATTTAGTATAAAACCACTGAGATTAGTGAGCCAGATGTTTTTCATAATAAACACTGACAGTTTTAATTCACCATAGTACTGTATGTATAATAGAGAATAGATTAGGACTCACTTTACACAGTCTGCTGTGTTTGCTGCTGTGCTTTTCTTAGAGGTCAATACAGTTACTAAAAATAATAACATATTGGTAGCCAAGTAACCTTAAACTTAAAGGAATACCACAACCACAAACTGATAATTTGCATATCAACTACTCACCATGTGTTACGCTGAGCTTGTGAAGAAAAGTTTTTTTTTCTTGCATGCCTTCAAGATGAACGAAGAAACCAAAAACAAAGGAAATTCTTGATGAATTAAAGTCATAGGGGTCCATGTTTATCAACAGCAAAACTAACTCTCACACAGCTTGTGCAGTATATTAATTTATCCAGTGGTATGCTCAGTACTTCCCAAACATATGCAATTTGCTAAACCTTACTTTTTAAAACACTTCCATATACAGGTAGCTGAGCATCCGTGGGTGGGCATCTGCTACGCATAAGGTTGCTTGTGCAGAAGCGTTCTTCTTTTTTTGGGGGGGATGGATTTAGGACGTACTGAGCCACAGCTGGATAAAAGACACTTAGATTATAGTGCATGAGTTGTGTGAGAGTTTGTAAATGGATGTTTTGATGTAGTTTTGCTTTTTTAAAAAAAAAACAAAAAAAACCGCTGACCCCTTTTATTTCAACTCATCAAGAATTTTCTACATTTTTGGATTCTTCGTTCACCATGGAGGCATGTGAGAAATCAGAGTTTTCTTCACAAATTTGAGGTAACACAGGGTGAGCAAGGGGCCGTGCACACGCTGCATATATAACCGCCTGGTAGACGTGAGGCCAGTTGCTGGGTGTTATTCTGTGCCAACTTTCAAGGGTGCAGAGGCAGGTTGTGTCCGAGGTTGCTAAGTGACCATAACTAGCACAGTATCAAAACCTGTTTACCTTAAATTCTGAGTGCAGAGCAGATTCTTCCCAGCATTGTTTTGTAAGTGTGTATTAGCCCCTTACTGATGTACAAAGTACAATCATTTTGTGGGTGAAGTGTTCCTTAAAAGGATTTTTCCCATTCACGCTGTCCATAGATCATCAAAGACTGGGAAGTGATTGACGACCCTCAGGCAGAAATGCATGCAGGAGGTGACAACCCTCAGGATATGACCACCCCAGGCATCTGTGAAGGATATCTCCTCAAGAGGAGGAAGTGGCCTCTGAAAGGTTGGCACAAGGTGAGAAATCTGTCCACTCTGTTGTTTTTTATTTCCACATGTTGACTTTATAAAGTTTATTAAAAGATTATTGATCTCTTTTTTCAGCGATACTTTGTGTTGGAAGCAGGGAACTTGCGTTACTCCAAAAGTCAACATGATGTAAGTGAACTATATATTTAATAACACAATATTTTACCGCTGTAGATTTAAACACTTGTATGTGCATTTTTCCACTAAAGGTCTCCAGAGGACGAGTCCAGGGCTCTCTAGATCTGAGCTTCGCAGTCATGTCGATAAACAAGAAGTCAAATCGGATTGATTTGGATGCAGGGGACATTCTTTATCACATGAAGGTAAACATAGTTATTTATCACACAAATCAACAGTGTGTCTTTAGATTAAAAAGACACATATATGACTCTTCTTGTCTCTGCAAGGCAAAGAGCCACGAACTCTTCTACATTTGGGTGACCAAACTACAAGCCCACCGCCAGTACAAGAAGAACGAGGCAGCTCACGTTCACAGCAGCCTCCTCCAGACTTTGTCCCAAGGCACTGTGGCCGGACATGAGCAGAGAAATGGAGATCTGGTGACTATCAAATTAACAGAGTCAAACGAAACACAACAATCTTTACAGATGACTCAGACTAACTCTCGTATCCTCTTCCCTCTGTATTCATGTTACCAGAGCTCTGCAGGCATGGTGGATTCAGCAGGAGCTCCAGCACTCGTGCTGCCGTCAGATAACACAGCTGTGAACAGCAAAGTGTCGGCCTGGCTGCAGCAAAGTCACGACCCAGACACCTGTGTCCAAGGTATGAGTCATAAATATTATATACTGTATCATATAGAAACACATTTTGAATAAAGCCTGGATAATCTATGGAAGAGTTCCTGAAAGAGGAGCGATAAAGGCTTTTGTGGCTCCAGAGGGAGCAGTGTGGCTGATAAATGTACTCAAGGGGTTTCACGTGAGTTGCATTGTGGGTAATGTAGCCGCCAGGACAAGGGAGATGAATGTGTGGAATAAAAAAGACGATATCTCTGGTTCTGCTGCATTGATTGTGATACTTTTGAGTCTGACAGTGTTTTAGGAAAGCAATACTAAATCTGTAGGTGCTCTTAACTGAGCTCTGTGTGACATTGAGAACATTCATATAGAAGCAAACAACTATTTGTTAAATAAAGATTTAAGGGAGTAATGGCATCCTGAGCAGAGAGCGTCACTCTACCTCTGTGTGTGTTGTAATCTGAACTTCACAGTTTGTTTTCGTGGTAGACGATTCTCAAACAATTTACACCACATGTTGCCTCAGAAAATATCAGACTGTCAGCTAAAGCCATGTTGAACAAAGGGGTAACATGGGAACTAGCACTCCTCCCCAAAACTCACACACTGCAAGGACCAGGAGCCAGTCGAACACAGCACCTTAAGTTTTCTCCTTAAGTAATGACACTTAAGACATAATTTTTCCTAAGATGATGTACTTACTTAAGGGTGTTGCACAGAATCCCCGGATAAGGTTTCCTTAGTTAAGTAAAAATGTTAAGGCATTTACTGCATTGAAAAATTCTACAGTGGTAAAATACTACATTTTCCATGATTACCATTTGTTTGCTTGTTCTTAAACTTGTGATACCTAAAGTCTTTTGTGCAATGGTTTAATTAACTTTAAGGGATTCCTTAAGTATAAGACCAAGATAAGGAGATAAAGTGTTGTGCAACTGATTTTAATTCAAGAAAGCCTTAACGTGGATTTCAAGAAAAATCTTACCTTGTCAGGCACTGTGCAGATTTCACTGGCACTGCCTAAGTGGCCGTTAGCACCTACACTCAAGCCCCTTTTACACTGCCAGATTTTCCATGAACGTTGGGCCGTTTTGCCAGCAAGCTGCGAGCGTTTAGACACACAGAGCCGGATTGGCGAGTTGATCCAAGGTGCCCAATTTTCCCCCTCGTAGGGTAGACATATTGCCGGAACGTTTTTGGTTTAAACAGACTAAGGCGGCCTTCCACAACAGGAGGGGCTGTTGAAGGCTTGTGGGAGGAGCTGTTGATGACGCCTCACGTGCGACCCACTGGTGGTGGATAAACAGGAAACAGCTGATAGCAGGAATTAGCGAGCAGCTAGTAGCAAGAAGGAAACACAAACCTGACAGACACTGTAAAGATGAGCAACTGGGGAGACAAGGAATTGTGCGCCCTCCTTGCCCTCTCAAACGAAGAGGCCATTAACCGTCAGATGACGGGGACGGTGAAGAGCAGGCCGACTTACGAGAGAATCGCCGAAGGACTGACCAGCTGTGGCTTCCCTCCCACGTCACTGGTTACGTCACACGCTGAACCACACGTTTTGTTACTTGCTCACGCCCCCCCATTGCCCCGAAAAAGGCACATTCTGTATAAACAAAAGTAGGTAGGCGGCATTTTGCTGCACTCCCCGATTTTGTTTTGATACTGCCAATGCTGAAAAAAGACTGATTGGGCTTTCCTGCAAATTTGCACAACTCCTATTTAAAAATGGCTAAAGTTTAAGTGTTTTCCTTTGAAATTATATGGTATTTTGATAGCATTATATATATATTTAAATCTATATATTTAACTTTTTTATTCCACCATCTACTATAGTTTGAGAAGGAGTGTGGTAGACAGTCCAGCCATGTGTTAATGTTAGTGCATGTGTGTGTTCCACTGGCTAGCTAATCACTGCCTCTCTGCACTACACTCATATGGTGGTTACCAATAATACTGGGATGGAGTGGTTGTGAAAGCATAGCACCCATCCTCTAGCTCCCCTCACAGTTAGCTCTGTCGGCACAGTTATTGATGTTAGCCCTATTTGTGCTGTTAGCACCATTAGCTGCTAGCTGCCAGCTCAGCCACCGCCATGTTGAGAGCCATGTGCAGACAACTTCTGAATCACAGATTTGCTATAAATATCGAATAGAACTCCTTTAAGACAAAACAGTTACTGAAAATGTGCCGTTTGTTTCTATTCATGACATTTTACTTTGTCTTCTCTGGATAACTGCATGACAGCATGTAGTTTTTCATCAGCCTAATATGTAATAAATGTTGGGTTTGTCTCCATCAACCCTAATCAAAGAGAAATTATTACTTTCTTACTATTAGATCATTCTCACCATTTAAACTGCAAAGATTCATGGGGTCTAAATGTGTAAACAAACTGTGTTCCAGGTGTTTCTGTAAAGTCTTCTTTAGCGTAAAATGTGATCATGACCACACAAATCATATCTGATTAATTATGCACAGAAGCTCAATAAATAAATAAATAAATAAATATACCTCTCGTGTTTTCTTCCAGAGCTGAACCGTTGCTGTGTGGACCTTTCTGAGCTAAACCGCTTAATCCAGAGGCTGCAGCTGCTGGAGGCCGGCCAGGCTTTCACTAACGGAGACCTGAAGCGCATCATCAGCACACAGGTAGACTGGTGTGCAGTTTGGAGCAGCTCCTTTCAGGGCAACATCACAGGAAAATAAAATTATTTATGATAATATTCCATCTTGTGATCCAGAATCTGTCGCTTGAGAAGCCGAAGAAGTCGAGGTCGGGGAAGATGTGGGGCCACTCTCGCACATTATCCAGAGTGGAGGCCCTGGGAATGGTAAGAATGGTCTGTAACTTAGTTAACATACTAACTCCATTAGTATTTGTTTTATTGCTTTACATTCATTTGTGAGTTGATTCAAGATAATTTAACAGTAATGTTTCAGCTGATTTAAAATACTAATTGACTGATTAAAGGTAATTTGTTTGAGAACATATTGGGTTTAAGTTATTTACATCCCGACCCTTCTGTAACATTTTGGGGCTTTTCTTTAATCCAAAGCCTATTCGTGGGATTACTAAATCGGTGAGTTGGCAATGGGGGGAGAAATCTTGATTCATAAAAATTATTCTGTGTTCTCCATTTCCTGAAAATGAATTGTGACTGCATAAATAATGACATTAAAAAGTTTTTTTTCAGGTTAAAATGGTAAATGTGTTTTAAATACACTGAATATTTATATTATTTTATATATCAGGTGTCTTGTTTTTCCCACAAAACAAAGCATAGTAATATTTAAAATGTTTGATTGTAGAGTGAGTAAAGTACAGAGTGATGTAAACCTGCCTATTGTTTAGATGCTAGATCAGTAGTCCTACAGCTCTGATAGTTTTCTTTCTTACCGGACAACAGGGATCTGATTTAAACACAAAATGCCTCAAATTAAAAAAAAAAAAAAAAGGTTAAAGGGACAGTTCACCCCAAAATTAAGAATACATGAAATTTCTCTCTACTGAACTACACCTGCCATCTGTAGGAAGTGTGCATCTACTCATAGATGAGAGGCTCATACTCATGCTCATGACAGCGCCAGATGTAAACATTAATGGCATCCTCCTCAGCTAAGCTGTAACAATAGCTAGCTCAGTGGTGCCAGGTGAGCTAGCAGTTGATGCACACTTCCTCCTGTGTTGTCATACAGTTGGTGGGTGTAGATGTTGCACTCTTAAGTCGAGAGGACTCTCTCAACTTTATTCTCCCCAGTACTATGTATACATATATATTTTTTGTAGTAGTTTGCCCAGAGCAGCTCGGGTTTCACATAGTAACACAAGAAACATGTTCCCCAGAAAGAGGAACAGGAAGAAGAAGGAAAAAAGGTGCCCCTTCATGACGTTTATCGCTCACACTAAGGCAGAATAGTGAACAAAATGTTCAACCAAGTGACAGAAAGGATGATAAGAATGCCTTATCCAGGACATTTTCATTAAGTTTATAATGCTGAATATTTCCATCTTGCAACATAGTTCACTAGAAAGAAAACAGCTCCTACATGAAACTGCTCACAACAAGTTACAGACCTTGCTGAACGTCATCTAGTTCCATTATATGTGAGAGAAGACAGACATCTCTATGGCTGATATCTCCAACACTTTGCAACTCACACCAAAACAATCTAGACTGATAAACAGCACCACAGGTAAGAGGGAAAATATATATGTATGATTATTGGGTGGACTGTCCCTTTAACTAGCTAGTAGGACAGAAAACCTGCAGAGCTGTGGCACCAGAGGTCCAGGTTTGAGCCTTAGCATAAAGCAGTTACCTTGATCTTCCAAGTGTTAATAAGTCCCTAATTAGAAAACCATTATGATATTGATCTATTTGTACTGTGCAGCATTGATTTTACAGGAAATCACAGGTGCAACTAATTAATATTCATAATTTATCTGTTCTATTTTGATCAGTTCAATTTAACTGGTAATTCTCAGCACAAAAATAACACAACACACTGCAACAACACTAAAACAAGATTGTTATGGTACAATGAAATTAGTTACACCTGTGTTTGACAAATCCTATTTTTAATGTGAAAGTAATGACAGATGTCCGTCAGTGTACGCTGTGCAACTTTTCCTGTCAATACAAAATGTACCATACTTTTTATTGTCATTTTTGGAAATTAACTTCTTCTCTCTATTGTCAAGAGTTAGATAAGAGGACTGCAACTCTCATGCTTGTACGGTTAATATGAAGCTACTGCCAGAAGCTAGTTAGCTTAGCTTAGCATAAAGACTGGAAACAGAGGGAAACATTTAGCCTGGTTCTGTTCAGATGCAGCAAAATCTGCCAACCGGCTCCTCTAAAGCTCACTAATCAAAGTGGGACCAGCCAGGTTTTTTGCTTTAAAGGGGCTTGATGTGAAATTCAGAGTGTTTGAGTCATCTGGACGAGGTTCTCAACGTGGAGGTGGTTAAGCTAGCGGCTAGAAGCAGCGCTAACTCCCTAAACAGGGCGAAACGATGACAATGGTGCTGATGGAGCTTGAAAGGTTGTTTGTTTCCACTTTAACATGTCATAACATGATTTAGGGATGCATGATATTGGATTTTTTGTCGATATGTTTTATGCTGATGTGTAACAACTTATTTGACCGATAACCGATACTGATACCCATATAGCCACTTTTTTCCTTACCTGATTTTCGTGATCATCAAGTCTCTTTTGTTGTGGAATTAACATCATATTATGCATGCATACTCTTACCGTGACGGCCCACCAGCAGATGGAGACATGAAATAGAATACTTTATAATGTATGTAATATTCATTCATTATGCAAAATAAGAAAAAGTATGTTGGCTGATTCTGATAGTTCATTTTAAAGCTAATATCAGCTGATACCAATGATGTACCGATGTTATGGTGCAACCCTGACATGATTGTTTGTCCGTACAAAAATAGAAGTGTAAAAAGCAGAAGTTTGTGAGTATTTCTCAGCTGATGGTGACAACAGGGCTCCACGAAGGTACTGCGCCTGTTGCCCCCGTAAACCCAAGATGACTCTGATAACAAGGGGGATCAATAAATGAGCCAATGAATCAGCCATCTTCCGTTCTCCTCTGTTCCCCTTCATAGCTGTCCTCCAGTCACCTGAACAGCTCGCCTCACCTGGGTACATCAGTCCCCTCTATCCCTGAATACGTCTACTCCCAGCTGTCCCCTCCTACTGTCACGTCGCCTGAGGGCAAGAAAATCCAGCAGGACATCTGCGCCATGTCGCTAAGAGGTGAGGAAAACAGACACATGCATGATACACACAGGTAGAGAGGATTCTCACAAGGTAGAATCGTAGGTGGGTGAGCAAAATCCAAGACAAGATCAGAGGGTCCACAGAGATATAAACTTCCATATCAACATAAATCTGAAATGAATATGCATCCAAACTTCCTCTGAAACTTCTACTCTCATTCGTCTTCAGTGCTTGCCTCCCTGAAGACAGTACATGAAACTCTGTCCCAGGAGAGGCAGAAAATGCAGGAAGTCTGGGAAAGTAACAACATCCACCAGTCTAACACATTAGCTGAGGTAAGACTCATGCTGCACCTGTCATCTGTATCCTCTGGCACATATTCCCATGTGGGTTCTTGATGGCTGGCTTTCTTTGTTCCTATTTCTCTTTCTCCGTCGACAGCCTGCAGTGGTGAGGCGCTCATCCCACGGGCCTCCATCAGTAGCAGACTCGGCTGCGGAGTATTTTGACGCCAGCGATGACATCCTTTGTGGCAGTTCTTCTGAGGTGTCTGATGAATCAGGACTTAGTGATGGAAGCACCACCAACTCTGAGCCAGAGGAAGGACATGGTGGGTACATGTCCCTTTGCAGTGCATGTAGGGTATATAGGCACTCAGTAAAATATGTCATTTTAATTAGTTTCATCTGCACAGACTACCAGTGGCATCAGTATGCTAACGGAAAGGAAAACGAAAGGTCACAAAGAGCTATTTACTGTGAGAGCTGTTCTCCATTAGCCCAGTCAGCAGAAAAAAAGCTGGCTTTGTATATTTCTTCATGATACAGTGCATTTGTACACTTCATACATATCATATAAATGTTTTTAAAAGTGATGTAGTTCTGATTACTTGTATATGAGCTTACTTTGTCATTGGAAGGTGGAGGCCACTGTTTGAGACCTACAAACAATGAATGCAGGTGTTTTTTAGCGAGACGTTGACGTCATTTTCAGCTATGAATGTGGCACCAAAACTGAACGTTTTTTAGTGAGATATCGTGGCATTTCCTGCAGTAACAGTGGCGCCAAAACTGGGTGTTTTTTAGCAAGACATAGTGGCTTCTCCAGCCGTGATTGTGGCACTGCTTATTTGAAGCAATAGCATAATTTTTTCATACCGTAGCCAAGTGTTTTTTGTACCTACACCAGGGGTAGGCAACCTGTGGCTCTTTAGCTCTTCAATGGCTGCCTGTGGCTTTTGACAGAAAATTATATGGAAATGAATAACCGTTATTTTTTTAAATAAGCTTTTAAATTTTCAATTATTTTTATAGGCCTCAAGTGATTCCAACACATTCTCGCTCCGACCTCGTCACATATTGATGTTTTGTCATGGACTTTCCACGTCCACATACGACGTGCAAGGTCCCCTGGGTGTGTTGGTTGTTGACGTTCTGGGACACCGTATCAAGACACACAAAATACACTTCTGTTTTCACAGGAAATGTATTGTTTACATACAGTCTCTTTCACAAATAAACGCACTACGTCTGTACAACATCGCAAACTGACTTTTTTTTTTTCCTTCAACAACAAACACACGTGGTTGAGTTTCGGAAAAAAGAACAGGGTTTGGTTTTAGAATCTTATCCTATAACAGCAACTGGCTGCGGATCATGCCAACATTAATGGACACCTTTTTAGTTGGTCTCTGACACCACAAGTCACTGCCCAACTTCAGAGTGAGACCGAGCTTGTGATTCTTACATTCATCAACTGTGAAATGTGTAGCCTATACATCGACTAAAAAAAATGTTAAACATTTTGTTAACTAAAATGTGTGTCATACGTCTGTGGCCTGGCATCTTGTCCACTAAAATCATCAATAGTGATGGCTACACTAGTCTTGACTCTCCCTAGCTAGGCTAGCTGTGGATTCCAAATCTAAAAAGGGAATAGTCTCAGGGAAGAATTGAGAATTATATGGTGTGTGGACAAATTTGTTTGCTTTCATCGTCAAAGTTGCAAAGCTAAAGTACAAAATAATCGAAAATAGCCCACTGCAGAGGAGCCACCTTGTGCTAAAAAATATTAATGAATGCTCATTTAGATCTGTTAGTAATGTTGATCGGCAAAATTTGGCCCTAAAAGGCTGTGTTAACTGTATTAGGAAGGTCAAATATGTTTCGCGGCTTCAGACAGTTTTTTTTTTGGCCAAAAAAGGCTCGTTTGAGAGTAAAGGTTGCCGCCTCCTGGCTGCAAATTAACCACAGCGTTGTTGAAATGTAAAGAAATGTAAAGTTTCAACATATTCATGACATAATAATGTATAGGCCTAGTCTAGATGTAACATATAGGTGTTTGCAGACACGTACATTGCCAACATTTGTTTTAGTGACTGGGTTGAATCAGTTTGTATGTGGATTTTTTTCTCTGGAAACTTTAAACTTCATAAAGCAAGACACTTTTTTGTGCATTAATACCACTCCCAGTGTGTCAAAGTGTAATTTTTACTGAAATATTGCAACAAGTATTGGATAAATTGCCATCAAATTTGGTTCAGACATTCATGTTCCTCAGGGGATGAATTGTAATAGCTTTAGTGATCCCTTAATTGTCCCTTTACCACCATTATCAGGTCAAAAATGTTTGCTAATTAGCAAATATCAGCATGCTAACAAGCTAACATGGTTCTTGTTATTACCTGAATAGAAATAGATTGCCCTTTTGCTATGACTGACATTATTTCCTTTCCCCAACATCACAGCATCGGCCACCAGGAAGTACCGTGCTAGCATCTCCAAGTCTCCTAACAGTGTCGTTCCCAAGAGCACCGGCCGGCGAACTAAGCTGCCTGCTCACTGTCCTGACAACAGCCACGTGGGCCTCATGGCCATCCTCTACAATAACATAGGCAAGACATTTAAGTCACAACACACTACAATTATACAGACATTATTTCTGACACATAGCTCATGCATGTTTTCTCTTGCTCTCAGGTAAAGACTTGGCTCGAGTGTCCATGCCTGCTCCTCTCAATGAGCCTGTTAACCTGCTGCAGAGACTGTGTGAAGAGCTGGAGTACAGTGAGCTGCTGGATACTGCCAACAACACAGCAGACCCCTACCAGAGGATGGTAGGACTATTATACTCTATGAGATGGATGGGAAACAATGTTGACACAGTAATGTGACAGAGTTAGAGTTGTTGTAGACACCCTGATGAATCTGCACCTGTTGACAGCGTTTCCTAAAAATATAATGACACCTCAGATGTTTCCTGTATACCTAGATATACCTGGTATAACTTCATGTTTTGGTTTAAAATACCCAGACTTTGGGGCAAAATACCCGCTGGAAAAGCAGCAATGTCTCTGTAAAAAACAACCGCATATTGTGGTGCTATCCCAGCAAAAAAAGCAGCAACAGGTTGCTACAAGAGACCCACATTTGGTGCCTAAAAAGCTGTTGGAAACATTTCAATGACTCACCAAAACGCAACCTGTTTTCTTGTTTGTTGGGCTTGAACAGAGGTCTGCAGCTTGGCAGGCGTGTCGCCTTGTAGACACGCCATCCACCATCCCCTGCACCTCCTGATGACAAAGTCAGCTCACTTAAGAAATGTTGAAACGTACAAATGTGGCGTATTCATGGTTTGCAGAGACGTACAATGCCAGAATTTTTTTCTCTGGCGACCAGGCTGGCCTGCGCCAATCTAAACGATGAAATAAAGATTAGAAAAATGATTCATGTTATTTCCTGTCTTACAGATTTACATTGCTGCCTTTGCCATCTCTGGTTACTCTACCGCAACGTTCAGAAACCGCTACAAGCCCTTTAACCCGGTGCTGGGGGAGACCTACGAGTGCATCAGAGAGGACCGGGGCTTTCGCCTCATCAGCGAGCAGGTATCTCAGGAGAGACTGTTTATTAGATGATATCCTGTTCTAGAATATCTTTAAGATCTCTGAGTGGCTAATACAGGGGACCAGTAATGTAAACTGGCCTTCTTCTAAGATTGAAAAGGAGACAATGGGGAATTCCTGTTTAGCTCCCATGATTTAAAAAATCAAGATGAATCACCCATTTCTGTAACTGAGCAGCTCACACACACACACACACACACACACACACACACAGAGCTGCACAAGTCAACACGTAGTGATTTATTGCTTTAATAAATCACACTTACTAATCATGTTATCAAAAATGAACACAAATCATTTAATTTGACGTGACAGCAGTCAGGTGAAAAGTGATTAAATGCCAGTCCTCGACAAAGAAATGGATCTTGAAAATGGCATGGCAGAAAGATACTGACAAAGAAATATTGGTGCAGCCAAAAACATTAGCTGTCTTGCATTAGGGTATTCCAGTGCTAGAGGCACAATATAATGTGTCACGTCTCTTTGATAAAGATGAATAGCAAAAATGGCAATTGAAAGCCAGCAAGAGTTTGTGTCTCCAAGTCAACACTTATCTCCGTACGTCACCAGGTCTGCCATCATCCCCCCATCTCTGCCTGCCACGCAGACTCAGACAACTTCTCCTTCTGGCAAGGTGAGACTCCTCTTCTTTTACCAGACTTGATTCTTTTTCATGTTTCAGTTAGTGGCGTTAATCAAATGTATTTTTATCCTCAAATACATTTGAAAAACTGATCACGTGTAAAGTCTCAACAGCACGTCTTTGTTTATATTCCTGAGCAGACCAGCGATGGAAAAATAAATTCTGGGGGAAGTCACTGGAGATTCTGCCGACAGGAATGGTGAATGTCACTCTCCCAAGGTAAACGGTTCACACCTGGTGATCTGTGTTTGCAAATTTACTGCGATGCCTTTGTTAGATGAGGCAAAACACGAGCCATTAGATGTAGGTGAACATCATATTCGATGTGAAACAGTGAGGGTTCTCTCCACTGGTTGGGATCAATGAGACATGAAACACTTTGCATGGATATTGCAGTTTTAAAATGAAACAGTGAGGACAAACCTAAAAATATATATATATATATTTTTCTTGTGCTTGTGCCACAGCATTAGACCATGTATACGTAACAATGAATTAACTAATGCATGATGAAAGTTGTCATGTTTATATTGTGCTACTTAAAAGAAAATTCACCCAAATTGTGTTAAAAATCGGAAAATTTAACTGAATTCTGCCTAAAATTTATGATAATTTTCTTTTATTGAGTATTTCGTTGACATTTTTGCATTCATTTGACACTTAAAATTGAAAAGAGAGACAGACAACACCTGGAAGACAGAGTGGGGTATGATGTGCAACAAATGTCCCTGGTTGGAAATGAACTAGGGACTTTGCAGTTACATAATATGTATCTGATTGGGCTACCGGGCGTCTAATTAATGCCACTTTTTCCTCATTGATTTGTCTGTTAATCAGCTTTTTTTGTCTAAAAAATGTCAGAAAATGATGAAAAATGCTCGTCATAATTCCCCAAAACCCTACTTGACTTCTTTTGATTGCTCATTTTGTCCAACCAATGGTCCAAAACCAAAAGGTAGTTTAATTTAGTTTATTTAATTTGGCATGGACATTACAGGAGCATTAGTTTGTAACAACTGGTGAACCAGGGAGAGTGGACTCAAACGCACGACTCTGGAGACAGTTCAGGTGAAATAACAGTCTTTACTGGTCAAAAGGTTGGTTCAGTACACAGGAGGACTGTCAAGGGAGGCAAACAAAGCCAATATATTAAAATAGTCAGTGTGTAGATGATTCCATAGATGAAAATATTCAGTTTACAATTATATATAAAACAGAGAAATTAAGCAAACATTCATATTTAAGGAACTCACTTTGGTGTTCTTGCCTGATGAATCACTGAATGTCTGTGCTGTGTCCAGGTATGGAGACCACTATGAGTGGAACAAAGTAGTGACCTGCATCCATAACGTGCTCAGTCAGCAGCGCTACCTGGAGCACTACGGAGAGGTCACTATTCGCAACCTCAAAAGTAACATCTGCACCTGCAAGATTACCTTCGTCAAGGTGAGTGAGACGACTTCCTGCACCACTCAGACCTTTCCTGTTTGAAGATGTTTCTCAGGGTTTGACTGACTGAAGTTTGTATTTTGTTGTAGTCTCGTTACTGGGGTTCAGACACGAACAAGAATGAGGTGCAGGGGACGGTGCTGGACCAAAGTGGGAGCGTCATTCACCGGTTCGGAGGTCTGTGGCATGAAGGCATCTTCTGCGACACTCTGCCCACGCCGCAATGTGTCTGGAAGCCAAGTGAGTCCATCGCAAACAAGACTTAGGACGTGTTTACCACGCGTCTTTGTCCTTGAGGTTTTCATGTGTTGCTGAGATTCTGCTGTAGAGGTTGAGGGTTTACGTAGACGTGACGTGAAATGATCAAGCACTCCCTGTTTCTAAAACTGCTAATCAGAGTAAATCCAGACATCACGTTTGCGCAGCAGCTCACCTGAGAGGCTTCTGTCACCCCACAGATCCCCAGCCAAAGGATTACCAGCTGTACTATGGCTTCTCTACTTTTGCCATGGAGCTGAATGAGCTCACCCCAGACCTGCTCCCTCTCCTGCCCCCTACAGACAGCCGCCTGCGCCCAGACCAAAGGTGAGCAGAGCTTGAAATGAAACCTTTATATATCTACATATAATGAAGTGAATTTGATGACCCAAGAAAGTGGACTTGTGGTTAAATTACTCTTTAATTATTCCCTTCTTTAATAGGATGCTGGAGGAAGGAAAGGTGGATGAAGCAGACAAAAAGAAAGATGACATAGAGGAGTTTCAGAGGGAGCGAAGAAAAGAGCTCATCAAAAGAGGGGAAGAACATGTTCCACGCTTTTTCAAGTAAGCAACAAACAATTATGTCCTGTGACATCTGTTTGATACGAAATAATTGTTTTGTTTTGTTTAATTTCGCTTAGTTTAGCTTAGCTTAGTTTTGTTTAGTGTAGTTTAGTTTAATTTAGCTTAGCTTAGTTTAGTTTAGTTTAGCTTAGCTTAGTTTAGTTTAGTTTAATGTAGCTTAGTTTAGTTTAGCTTAGTTTAGTTTAATTTAGCTTAGCTTAGCTTAGTTTAGCTTAGCTTAGTTTAGTTTAGTTTAGTTTAATGTAGCTCAGCTTAGTTTAGTTTAGTTTAGTTTAGTTTAGTTTAGTTTAATGTAGCTTAGTTTAGTTTAGTTTAGCTTAGTTTAGTTTAGTTTAATGTAGTTTAGCTTAGTTTAGTTTAGTTTAGTTTAATGTAGCTTAGCTTAGTTTAGTTTAGTTTAGTTTAGTTTAGCTTAGTTTAGTTTAGCTTAGCTTAGTTTAGTTTAGTTTAGTTTAATGTAGCTTAGCTTAGTTTAGTTTAGTTTAGTTTAGTGTAGCTTAGTTTAGTTTAGTTTAGCTTAGTTTAGTTTAGTTTAATGTAGTTTAGCTTAGTTTAGTTTAGTTTAGTTTAATGTAGCTTAGCTTAGCTTAGTTTAGTTTAGTTTAGTTTAATGTAGCTTAGCTTAGTTTAGTTTAGTTTAGTTTAGTTTAGCTTAGCTTAGCTTAGCTTAGTTTAGTTTAGCTTAGTTTAGTTTAGTTTAGGGCTGACCCAAAAAATTCGAAGCTCCGAAGCTTCATTCGATGGCATGGGATTCGATTGTGGAAAAAAAAAAAAAAAAAATTGAAGCTTTGGCGCTTTTTTCCCATTTTTTGGGGGGAGGCCTTAAACGCAACACTGACCCCCACCAGTCCGATACTGACAACGAACGCACTCAGAGCTGGCAGACATGTCCAAGAGGTCATCAGATGTGTGGTTGCACTTTAAAATATGCCCCGACAACCCCCAGAAAGCAGAGTGCCAGATTTGCCAAAAGCAATTGGCATATCACAACTCAACGACAAATTTGGGAAATCACTTGAAAAACGTAAGTAGTAACTAGTAGGCCTAATATGCATTTTCCAGTTCCACCGGTCCGCTCTGAGTCTGGTGTCAGAGCCACTTCGGATGCTCTGAGTTGCATCTGTTTGATTGTGCTGCAGTGTGCGCCGAGGGTTTTAATTTAGCATTCAATCAAAAGTTAAACACTATTTATCATCGACCATTTGTTTTTTTTTTTCGTTTGTGAATATTTTTATCTTAATTCTAGTGTTGGAAGAAACTACGTTTTCGCCATATTTTTTGTTGTTGTTAAATTCCCCCCCGTCGTCAAATGCTTCGAATTAAATTCGTTCTGAGCTCCGAAGCTTCAAATGTCCATAAATGGATTCGAAGGTCAGCCCTAGTTTAGTTTAGTTTTGCTTAGCTTAGTTTAATTTAGCTTAGCTTAGCTTAGCTTAGTTTCGTTTACCTTAGGAGCCATGCACATCATAGCTGGTGAGCCAGAGTTAGCTATGAAGCTAATTTGCACCTGTGGTCTCTGGGCATGAAAATATTAAAAGGCAGTTCAATACAGACAGTACAAAATGAATAATTAAAAGCAAAACAAAAACAAAACAGTTTGCACATCCACACATATTAAACAACATACAAAATATTCATTATATAGTCTTGAAAAACAGCGATATGGATCACAATTGAGTTCCATTTTTCTGCTGATCTGACTAAAAATGATAGTTGTCCAAAAGCATAATAAAGACCAAAAATAGTCATGCTTTATTGTCTGTATTAATAATACTAAATGCTAATTCTTAAATGTTTGGTTGCATGAATATCTTTACACTTTATTTCAATTACTTGGTTGGATTTTTATCTGGGCCTGGATTATTTATTTGCTCATTTTAAAAGAACCTTGTAACTCTACTCTTAATAATTGTCGTTTTTTTTTTTTTTGTAACTGAAAGATTGCAAGCATCTCTGTTCAACTGAAATTTTATTTTTACATCTTTATTGACTGAAGCCTATTGCTATATGGTGTGGACCACAATCATGTTCTGCATTGTAGGATTATTTATGTTTTCAATTATTCTAGAGATTATTTATTCAATTAACCTTTTAAACCTGAGCAAATTGGCAAGAAGGCAAGGAGCAACGACAGAAGAAATGAACCAAAAATTGGCAATGAATTAATAAAAAGACAAAATTCAAACAAGAAAACTAGAAATTTTTTTTGAAGTTTCTAGAACATTTCTTACCAAGTTGCTCATTGCCTTTTACCCCCTTGTTTCTCAAAGAAATCACATCGATTTGCTTGCGGTTCAAAGGTTTAAATAAATAAATAAATAAAGGTTTACTAAAAGCATCTGAAAGCAGCCCAAGAAACTCCAGGTTTTAATGTGTGAACCAGTAGAAATCTTTGAAAAATGTTCTTGATCCCCGTGACTTCATGCAATGTGGAGTTTTGTCCAACAGTCCAAAACCCAACAACATAAAAATCGAAATAATTTAAGACCAAGAAAAGCAGCAGATTCTCACAATAGAGAACCTGGAACCATCAATTTTCTGCCATTATTGCTTAAGAAATTACTGAAATTGTTAATCAATGAATACTGCCTCAGCAAGCACCTGCCCATATTACTCAGTATATTTACATTCTTACAGATTCACGTTAAAAATGTTCTGTTTTCTCACCATGTTCCTGTGCAAATACATGAACCAGCAATATCAGAGTTTCTTTACTATTATTATTTTTCTTCCTCTTCTTTGTCTCCTTCTGTAGGAAAGCCAAAGATTCCTGTGGACGGGACGTGTGGTTGACCAACGGAACATACTGGAAGCTCAGAGAGAATCCAGGTTTTGCTAATATTGAGAACACAGCTATGTGGTGATGAGACGACAGCGACGAGCAATGCCAGACAAAAAAACACACGAGAGAGAGAGAGATTGAAAAATATCAGTAATTGATATTTGAGCAGCGTGTATGAACTGCTCTAGGAAATGTGCAGAGTGGAGAGAGTGCTGCTGATCTCTTCTCATTCTTTCTGAGCGCCCATGACTGGCTCATGGGAAACCTCCCTACCTGGCCGTCCCTTCAGACCAGTGAAGTCACTCAGCATCCAGTGCAGGTGAAGAAAGACTTTCTCATCAAGATGGATTTTCTAATGCATTTAAAACATTTTTTAGGCTACTTAAATAACCGCATATATCTGTCTATTTTTGGGAATTTCTATGGAAAAATTGTTTCTGCAGAAAAGACTGATCATGTGACACACACTCTGCAGACATTAACATGAAAAAATGACTTGAGATGACAATGAAATCTCGTTTAAAGTGTATATATTAGTGTGTTAAATGTAAACAGTCAATCAAATCATGTCCTACTCAACCGGTTTACTGCATTTTATGATGAGAACAACTGAATGTTGGAACGTACTGAAGTCAATGCTACGGTCAGGGTGCAACTGCCCCAGGGCCCCAGACCCATGAGGGGGCCAGTTGGTTTGTGGTAATTTGATTTATTGAAGATTTGTTTGGGAATATGCACCACTAAGGTACTTCTGAAACTGTGTATTATTCTATGTGAGTTGGCTGTTTGGCCACATGCAACCGCACTTTTGGGCCCCCGAAACTTTCTTTGAAACTGGAGTCCAGGGTGAAGTTTTTGGAAGACTCCGGTGCCAGTGGTTGTGTGTAGATAGGATAACCACAGTATTTTATTACGTGTCTCCAATGTTTGAAGTCAGAGTGACGGTAAATAGCTAGTGAAATGGCAGACCAAACAAACATGCCGGTGCTAACTTTATTTGTGAGCATGCTATCTGCTGTCTTTGGATGGCATATCCAGCTGCTTGACCTAACGACCAACGAAGGAGGCAGCTCCTGTTGCTAGCTACCCCAACTGCACTACCACGAAAGCAGCGATGGGCCTGCCAACGGAGGTTCTGGATCTGGACCTCCGTTGGCAGGCCCGTCGCTGCTTCCGTGGTAGTGCAGTTGGTCGTTCAGGTGCCTCTGCTGTTGAATTAGGTCGCGTTATTTTTGTGGATCGGGTTGTTTTTATTTTCCGCACTTCCCTATTTCGGTATTGACTCTGACTTCTGATTGGTTAAAATGGCCTTTCCATTTTACCGAATTTACATCGCCACCTACTGCTTTGTCATGTGTATTACATCACTTGGTAGCAGCTTTTGCGGCTTCGTGTGGATATCATATTTTTTATCACACCACTCGTGTGAAACCGGGGCCCGAAAAAATTCGCATTCAGAAGTACACGGGTCTGTGTGGACTAGGCCTAAATTACAATAAAGATAAAGCAGCTATTATAGATATTTTTACCATAATGGACAGATTTTTCCCTCAGGAGTTGGTGGAGACCAAAAACAGAGCTAAAAGAAAGTGGATGTTGGACTTACATCCATCAGGTGGACACAAACATGACTCTAAATGAATGATAAGAGCTGCAACAACTAGTCGAGTGACAGAAAATTAAGCGGCTGCTGTTCTGATAATTGATTATAATTATAATTGTCATTTTTTAAAACATTTTTATGTGACAAAGAATTGGATGAGGAGAGGCACGTTGTTGAGGTTGAGGAATATCCTGAGCTAAATGACCCACAATCCCGTCATTGTAAGGACAACGGCCAAAAAGATATTGCCTGGTGAGTCATAGCTCCAGAGATCGGCTCTTCACGTGAGAAATCAAATTTAATTCAGGGCTCTTCACACATGTTTTTAAGCTAATGCCAAGGTGGAGGAAGTACAGATCTTCCAGCAAAAGTAATAATAACTTGCTTGGTGCATATGCCTAAACAAATTTGTGTTCTCCCAGATTATTTCCTTACAGGTAGGAAATAGCTCCCTTGCAGGCTGATCCAGCCACAGCTACAGTATATTTACTACGTATCTAGAGGTGCACCAGTACTGATGAAATGCATATGAAGTACTCAAACTTGGTATCTGTGACTTTCACATTACTGAGACGAGGTAATGATAACATTTAAGACAGTATCTGTCTAAATACTTTGATCATTGCTAACATCGATCAAATGCTGGTGAAACATCTACATTTATTTGATATTTTTGAACATTTATTATTTAAGAAATAACAATAACCAACACTCAGTATATACACATATTTACAAGAGAAGATATTGTACGTATTTTTATGTCATTTATGGTAAGAAAAATATCCAGCTGGTTGGAAACATACACGCTGTATTTATACAGTAAATTAAACTGCTGACATCACAACTGTGTTTTTATTTTTCAGTGGGATCAGTTTATTAGCTGCAGATGTGAGTAAGACTTGTTTGAAAAAGATTAAAATTAATTCACATATCATTTTTTAATGAATTGGATTTGCAACATTTTGAAAAGCTGCTTTGTTCAGTCGATTAAAAAAAATCCTACCTGCATCAAATAAAAACAAACTCACCAAAACAGCAGAGATTTGTCATGTGTAAGCTTTAATTTCATGAATAAAAAAACAACAATACAATACACAATTATGCCACCTTTTTAATAAATAACAATTTTCCCCATTCAGAAATCTCCATCTCTTATTTTTGCAATTTATAAGCTCTTAAAGAGTCAAAGGAGGATTATTTCCCCCCTCGACGTTTACAGTGCACATGGATCACACACAAAAAAATAACATGCTTGACCTTGTCTGGTCTCCCTTCTTCACGCCTCTATTTCTATATTATACAGTAAAATCTCTGGAAATGCAGTTCCCACACAGTTTTACGCTCGTACCGAGGGAAGTGTGAGTTCAAGGGAAACACAGACTCATGGGAAATGGAGGTATTAGAGGTTAAACATCAGGGATTGGCTGAAGTTGGTTGTAATAGCTGAGTTATCCAGCAGGGGGCGTTCCTGAGGCAGTTTTTTTTCTGCTGTTTGATGTGATGTAGGTGCAGGAGTGAACCACATGACCAAACCACAGCACATAAAAATAAATAACTGACATCGTCCACCAGTGATCACATAAAACTTTGCTCTCATTGTTTTTGCAGTGCCGTCATTAATTCTCAACTACTCTCTATTAATTGCACTTAAAACAACAATTGTCCATCGTACACCTTCATCAAGGTACATCATCACTTCTTCCTCTGACAGATGTCAACATAAACATTAAATAGCACATCTTTTTTTTTTGGGAAATGTTACATACAATATATCCGTTCTGTTTCCAGCATAAAACTAACACTTCATTACCATTTCACTTTATTTAAATGTTCAGATAAAGGACTGAGCTGTCAGACAGTTTGTCCTTTTTGCATCAACATCTTTAAGACCATTTAGCCTAGTGCTGCAGTCCCAGTGTTTAGACAATGCTTGTGTAACACCAGTTCAGGCAGGAGCTTTAATTTGTGTCACATGTGAAACCTTTTTAAGGCAAATAGCGCCGCAGCCAGGATTTTAAAAATACATAGAAATACTAAGTCTTGAGTCCAATCACCCAGCACAGCCCTACCCCCTTCGGAAATATGACCTCACACCAAAAACAAAGGCTGAAAAATAAATTGGCTTATTATTTAGATTGTCACATTTTATCAATTCAGTTAAAGATCAAGTGTGTAAAATTTATTGGGAATATTGGCAGAAATTAAATATAATTTTCAGTATATAATCACCTGAAAATAAGAATCACGTTGGCCACCATAGTTAGCAGCCGTCTTGAAACTATTCAATGTTTTTACCACTTTAAATCACCGGGTCTGTTTGTTTCGGAGAGGATGAGACCGAGAGATAATTCGGCTCCTGGTAAAAAAATCCTGAATGTCTGGATCTTAAGTCAGCAGAGAAAAAAGATGAGCACACTTTAGCAGGTGCTAAGCTAACGGCCTTTCTCTGACGAGCCAAACTGAATAAGAGAAACACTGAATTATAAAGTTAAACTGCTTTATTCAGTGTTTAGACTGGTTTAAATCACCGGGTCTGTTTGTCTTATAGGAGAGGAGACCTCTGCCGATAATTCAGCTCCTGGTAAAAACCTCCTGAATGTCTGGATCTTAAGTAGAGAAAAAAGATGAGCACACATTAGCAGGTGCTAAGCTAACGGCCATTCTCTGACGAGCTTCGGGGGACATTGATTATTGAAGTGAAACTGCTTTATTCAGTGTTTAAACTGGTTTAAACCACCGGGTCTGTTTGTTTAATAGAGGGAGAGACCTCTGCAGATAATTCAGCTCCCAGTAAAAACCTCCTGAATGTCTGAATCAGAAAAAACTGAGCAAACATTAGTAGGTGCTAAGCTAACGGCCCTCTCTGATGAGCCAAACAGCTTCGGGAAACACAGATTTTTAAAGTGAAACTGCTTTATTCTGTGTTTTTACCAGTTTAAATAACCAAGTCTGTTTCGGAGAGGACGAGACCTCTGTAAAAAAAAAAATTGGCTTGCGGTAAAAACCTCCTGACACATCACTAGTGCTAAGCTAACGGCCAGTCTCTGACGAGCTTCGGGTAACATTGATTATTAAAGTGAAACTGCTTTATTCAGTGTTTAAACCAGTTTAAATCACCGGGTCTGTTTGTTTTAAAGAGGAAGCGACCTCTGCGGATAATTCGACTCCTGGTAAAAACCTCCTGAACGTCTGGATCAGAAAAAAGAAAGCACACATTTGGGCTAGCGGCCTGTCTACATCATGCTGTACAGTGTACTAGAAACACTGATTTATTATGTAAAACCGCTTTACTCAGTGTTACTACCAGTTTAAGTATGTCTGCTTGTTTTGGAAACAAAGAGACCTCCATGGATAATTCAGCTCCTGATTAAAACCTCCTGAACAATGAACACTGAAGGAATCCAAACTGGGAGAAGTTTCATCACTAGAAGCCACAAAATCCCGGAAAATCTTACACACTGAACCTTTATCTGTTTCTGTAGATTTAATTTCCCAACATGAAGGTCTAAATGTGTGTTCAAAGTCGTCCCCACGCTGCCAGGAGGGGAACTCCTTCATTAGTTTTATTTTTGCTGGCCTAAAACTTAAATATATAGAGTCTATAAATACTTGAACCACCCACATATAACTTCCCCTGGTCCCTAAAACCCCCAAATTCTCAGAAGCAGTCCTGATGACATGACCTCAATTTCTCACTGGTACTTTTGGCAAGTTGATATGTGCTTTCGTCATATCTTCTTTGTCTTTAACTGTGAAGGATTGGTCCAACATTTTGGGAAATATGATTCACTTTTTTACCGAGAGTTTAACTTCGAGCTAAAGCTAGGAGATGGTTCGTTAGCTTAACACAAGGACTGGAAACAGGGAGAAACAGATGGCCTGACTCTGTCAAGAGATCACAAATTAACACTTTATATCTTCTTTGTTTCTTCTGTACAAAAACTAAAGTGTGAAAATGAAAATTTGTGCTTTTCAGTAAGGGTTACGTGTGTTTCTCGACAAGCTAGGCCAGCAAATTCCCCTACTTTAAGTCTTTATGCTAAGATAAGCTAACAGCATCCTGGCTCTAGCTCAGTTTTTGGTTACAGAAACAAGAGTGGGATCAATCAAACATGTGAAACTGTCTTTTAGTAGTATTATCTTTTGTTGTGTGGTTGTTTTCACTACAGCAGATAAAGCTTATAATCAGATATACAGTAGTATACACAGTGCAGGCTGCTGGTGCAGTTTTTGTAAACTCATTTTAGGCATTTCAGGAGTGCAGATTTAGTTTTAATTTCATCTCTCCCTTTGAAAAGACTAAAGTAACCCTGCACTGCACCGAGCGAGTGCCTGCCTGTCGCCTCCAGTGTTGTCTGAGGCCATTAGCACACCTGGTGAGGAATGAGGAGCAGATCTCTGATCAGCGCCGACTGCAGCCTCACTCTTCATTTCTGTCACCAGGACAGGGAGCCGGGACTCTTGTCAGCCGGTGTCACGACGTGATAGGCTCGAAGACTAGAGGGGGGAAATTCAGGGTGTCTGTCTGGTCACTTTGTGCTTCCTGTTTATCGTGGCTGTGAGGGTGACAGTGCCTCGTCCGTTTACCTACAGGTGCATGTAGCCATCGTGAGTGACCCACTTTTTTGCCCCTGCTGTGTAATGCGAACACTGTGCGTTCATGTACAGTGCAGGTTGTGTTTGTGTGTTTTAAGCTGTCACACTTCTCTCTGCCAATACTGTTTTCCAGTTACGTCTTTATTGACGATGGTATTGATTGTGGGGTTTATGTGTGTGTGTGGTGACAGGAGCGTTTTCACATCCACTGACTACAGCTGGGGGCTGGGCGTTTGTTGTGATGGGGCCTTTTTTCACTCTATGAAACCAAGCAGTGTCCAGTTGGCCTTGTTTATGCCTGGTGCTAAGATGTACAAATGTTTTATATTAATTATCCAGGTCTTTAAATGACTTTAAAGCAAATGCGAGGAGAGGTTGAGCATTTTCTGTTTTTTTGTGACAAATTGGTGCGACTTCTTGATGTCCTTGAAACACATTGGCAGACTTTTTCCACCAGATGCTCACACCTTTTGCTCTACATCCACCTCCACTCCAAGACCATTATTCTTCACTGTGTGACTGGTAGTTTTGCAGGCTCCTGTCCCCTCCCTTTACATATCATATTCTAGTACCATTTCTAGCAGTTTACAGACCTGATTCAGACCCAGAATTAGAAAAGTTCAATCATGAATATCTGTAGTTTTTCCGACGGTTGATGTCCCATTGAGGGGCAGTTTGAAACGGCTTGATCCAAAGATGCAGTCTCATCACATCGAAGGGTTTGTAAAGTAAGTGCTACGTTCGTGCTGTAAAGCTGCCAGTGTGCTTCATCAGAACTGCTTGCCAGGTTTTCAAATACCTTCGGAAACCCTCTCCCTCCTCCCTACGCCTTTCGACGTTGCATCCTGGGAGCCAAGGAGTTAGCAACGCTTTCAGCTCTTAAAGACAGGAAAACGAAGGTGGTATATGACGGCATCTGTGGAATGGCAACGACCCTGGAGAAGAGACTGAACGAGCAACCAAAACCAGTCACTGCATGGGCTGGGGAGAGGTCAAAGTTCGTCAACCAGGGGTCAGCGTACAGTCGGAGAAAGATTGGCGAGGATGTTCGCATCTAATGCCAGAAATCGTCTTTAAACAAAGAATCCCAACTCTCTCCCCTGCTGTTGGACCCTTTTTTGAAAAAAAAAATGCCATGAGTTACACATATGATGTTTGTCAATTTAAAAGACAATTTTGCAAGTAAAGATAGTTACAATTTGTCAAAATACGGTTGGAGTATTAGACTGTGAAAATACCTAGTTGAAGTGACGACACAAGTAGCATAGGTGATAGCTTGCTCTCTACCTGAATCTATGACGCCTGTGTGCTTTGTATCGGGATGAACTCACATGACCAACAGGTCTTGCTCGTTATTTGACTTCCTGGCTGATAAGACCAGGAGTCGCTGGATAAAACGCATCAGGTAGGATATCGTGACATTTCTGCAACGATAATAGCCAAGTTAGCTAGCTAGTTGGCTAGCTGGTGTAGGTTGAGAGATGTAGTTCACTGAGCATTTCCACACAAAACTAAACATTATTACGACAAACTGAGAATATCTTGACTTGAAATTGGATCTATTAAATTGACAAACATCATATGTGGGATTCATGGCACATTTTAAACAGGATCAAAAAAGTATTTGTCTCTCACTGCTGAGTACATATATTTTCTGAAATAAGGTGTCATGGGTGAAACAGGAGGGGGAGGGTATTTGACCAAGTAATCATGTGACTGAAGTTGCACACTGAGGTCACCTGATTACAACGACATCATCTCTGTGGCAACCAGCAACTCCATTCACTGAAGAGGGCCATGAGATGTGGTGGAAAGCTTCGGAAACAACAAGTAAGTTGATGTTTCTTCCAATTTAGGGCTGCAACAAATTATTATCGAATTTTCAATGAATCTACGGACTATTTTCTTGATTGACGATTAATTATTCTGTCTATAAAATGTTAGAAATAGTGAACATTCTTGTTATAATTCACCAAAGTGATAACTTCAAATGTCTTTTCTTTTTGTCCGACCAAGAAAAACCTGAAGATCTTCACTTAAATTACACGTATGATTTAAAAAAGCTGCAAATTCGCACATTTTAGAGGCTGTAACCAGGAAATTTGGGGCATTTTTGCTTAAAATAATTAACAGATTATCAAGATATTTGTAGATTAACCTCTTTGTCAAGTGTGTCATTAATTCATCGACTAATCTTGCCAATCACATGAAGCTATATGATTTTTTTCTCTCTCAAATTTTTTTTAGTTAAGTTTGAGGTGAGATTTTATCCTGCTTATCAGCATTTTGATGTTATCTATCTTTGTGTTTTGACATGTCGTGGCAGGATCTAATCACATTACAGTGCAAACAGACTGAAGATTTTGCTTCACCCTATAAATACCCAGAAGGGCAGCAGGTTACTATGAATTGTAAATTGTTATTCCAGATTGAAATTCATAGGAACTTCAGAGATAAAAGCTCTTCTTTAACACCTGTGAGATTGTGTTTGATTGTCTCCAGTTGTAAGGACTGGCTATTTCTGCACCGGTTGTTGATTTACTTAACATCAACACACAGGAGAGGCTGTCCTAGCTGGGTTGAATTAGATTAGCGGCCGTGCTTCAGGACATGTGCTTGTTAAACCCTCTTAACCTCCTGACATCAGCTCCCTCAGACACTCTGGCCTGTGTACCGTGAGCCCCTGCAATGCTCCTCTGTCGCCACTGGTCGGCGCTACACTAAACATATTGAGCTGGATTTGGAGAGAAGACTGTGCGTGAAATGTAATTTCAGCTCAGAATCATCAGGGGAAATGACCGTGAGCATATTGTGAGAGTATGTGTGAAAGGTTGAGGGTGAGAAGGAAGAGACAGACAGAGACAAGACAGAGCAAAACAGACAGACAGAGTGTTTGATGCAGAAAGAACAGACAATCCCTGCAGGCGTCTGTCAGCAAGCAGATATGCAGATCATTTTTTCTCAAATCTCCAGATGTTTGGAAGGCTAAAGTCACAGGTCTGTTTGTCTGTGTGGTGTTTATGTGACTGCGGGGCAGTTTCCCAGTCACATCCACTCGTGTTCAACACAAACTTTGACAGTAACCTTGAAAGTTACTCCTGTAATCATTCGACACTTTGAAGGGGGACTTTATAGAGAGGCTGGCCATACTGCGATGTGACAGTGGATGAAGCTGCATGTTCTGGTGTTTGTCTGCAGCAAAAATGGAGACTGTTCCAGCCCTTTATCATGACCTGACTGGACAGACAAAAGCATGTCCATGAGAGCAGTGTGGGAGGATGCTGGGGGAGGCTGTGGTGATGTGTGAGGTCTTCAGTGGGTGTAATAGCCATAGTAGTCTGCATCGCTGTTGCTGTCCTTCTCGCAGACCTCTCCACTGCGCGGAGGTGGGGAGTTTTCAGTGCTGGATGTGTATGGCGACACCCTCCTCTTCTTGTTGTCCCCCACGCCACCCTCAAACAGGCCTGAGTCGGCTGAGGCCGCTGATTTCACAGAGGGAGGTTCGAGCCAGGGGTCTTCCCCAGCCACCTCCACAGTGTCTTTAGACTTGTCCTGCAGCAGAGGCGGCTGCAGAGGCTCTAGAAGCGAGGGCGGGTGCAGCCGGGGGTTGCCAGGTGATGTGGAAGATGATGAGGAGGATGAGGAGGACGATATGGGTCTGAACCAGCCCAGACTGGGGCCAGGCTTGCTCGGGTGGCTGAGGTACTGAGGGGTGGGCCGGCTGGTGGTCCAGCCCGCTGAGGTGGCTCCTGATACAGACACGCTGGTAGATGCAAAAGGATGTTCAGGGTAGTAGCTGAGGGGATGGTGAGCGGATGTCTGCAAGGGGAAAGGCTTGTAGAAACCGTTTCCGGAGAAGTCCCCCTCATAGGAGGAAGTGAAGTCAAGGCGATTTGGGGCCACACCCTGCTGAGGCGGCAGGTACCAGCGACTGTGAGGACCAGGACTCGAGGACGGGTCTTTGTGCTGCTGGCCCATGCTGATAGGCTCGCGGCTGTAGAAGCGGCTCTGCTGCAGGGGGCTCATGTACTGCTCAGAGAGGTAGCCTTGGGGGTAGCAGCTCCCTGGCAGCAGCTGCTGGCTCTCAGTAGGGGAGGGGGTGAGGCGATCAGAGTCGGGAGGAGCGTACAGCCTAGGCAGGAGTGAGGAGGAGGGGAAGAGAAGAGAGTGTGAGAAGAAAAAAAAAAAAAGAAGGTGTTATTTCCTGCCCAAACCTCAAACTATCTATCAAACATCTCACAGCCCCTCACACCCTTTCACTGCAGCATGCTTGAGCTGCGCAGTAATTGCATCTATTTCAATATTAAAACAGAGACATTCAAGCAACAACCCAGTCTCACTATTCACGGTGAGCAAACTCAACGTTCAGATAAAGCTGTGTCCTCCCTAAAAGGAGAGCATTTACAGCACTTTTTACAAATACAGCTTTTTAAAAATAATTTACTTACGTGTCGTAATTGTCACGGAAACCTTTAGCGAAGGGGTTATGGTCTATTTTCAGCTGAGTGATCTGTGTAAGGAATAGGAGGAGGGCAATGAGAGAATGTAGGCACAGGAAAAAGAGAAGGAGTGAGTAACCACGTAAGAGAAACAAGAGAGCAGAAAGAGAGGAGGTCACTGGCTAATAATTAATTAGGATGACATGAAATTTCTTTTCTTGTCGTTGGAAAGAGTTCATCCTTCGAGCCAGAGAGTGAGCACACACGCACAAATATAATGATTGAATAAACATACAAACAGGGCGAGTGTATGTTGCTTTGCATCGCAGGAACTCTTACATATTGTATTTGAACAGCTGTTAAAGATATACTATATACAACACATACTGGGGAGCAAAGAGCTACAGTCCTTAGGTCAGCTGAGGTGAGCTGACTCTTGGTTGAACTTGTATAGTAACCGACGTTAACGCTTATAGTAGAGCGTAGGCATGTAAATTAGTATGTGTGCATTTTTGATGTGTGCATGCATAAACCAAAGCTTCTATCACATTAAACATTGCTCTTACATGAATCATTGAATGCCAGACCTCATTTAGAGGGTGGGTAAGAGATGTTGGTATAGTGTTACGAAATCAGTGGTTCTAACAATAGACAAGAGTGTACATTGAATTGAATTAAGTAAAAGATCGCTTCTTGTTTGTCAAAATGTGACAAACATACAGACAAAAGAAAAACAGGACTTTAGAATATGATGTCTGTTTTCTTCTGAGGCCTTTTCCAAAGCAAAGTTGATGAAAGATAAGAAAACTGAGCCGAGGTTGATCGTATCTTGCATAGAAACAAGTACACACACGAAACTAAACCTTGCTGTGATTGGCGCGACTTACATCTGCGTTCTGATAAGCAGTGACAGCAATGAACTGAGTCTCTGGGAAGATGAAGGTCTGAGCTTTGGATGACAGGAAGGCATCCTCAGTGCCGTCCTCCTTCACCTCCACGATGTGAAGACGAGGCTGGTACTTATGGAGCGACTGGAGCACGATCATCTGGAGAGGAGACACAGGTACTTTTCAGATATCTTTGCCATTATTTGATAGAAAACAGAAGAGATTCAGACAGGAAGTGTGTGGGCGAAGGAGAGATCCTTGGCAGGACTCAAACTGGGGACGTTGCAGAAACATTATTTGCGTCTCGGAGCACTTTTCCACTGTGACAACCAGTAATGTGAGTCACTTTGACTTGGCGTATGTCAGAAGCAGGATATGGAAAATTAACAGTGTATGTAGCACATATTTATTGCGTAGATTTTAGAACGACAAATACAAAACAAGTGGTTTCAGAAGCTCTTAATGTGATGCGTGGATTTTGTGGTCAAAATGATGAATAGCTTCAGCCACTGAATATACACGCATATACACCAATCAGCCAAAACACTGAACACTGTTGCAGACCAAGTACCCCCTGTCATGGCAACGGCACTCCCTGATGGCCCCTCAGGCAAGACAATGCACCATGCCACACATACTGCTCTGGCATGGTCCGAGGAACATGACAAAGGGCTCGAAACATTCATCTGGCCTCCAACTTCCCCAGGTCACAGTTTGATGGAGCATCCATTCACCTCACAACCCACAGGACTCAAAGCATCCACTGCGAACGCCCTGGTGCCAGACACTACAGGACACCCATGACAGGTCCTGTGTCCTTGCCTTGACAAGTCAGAGCTAAGTCAGATCCGAGGAGGTTCTACCATGGATTGTGGGTACCTCTTTTGCACCGGCATGTCCCATGAATACTCAATCAGATTGGGATCTTGGGAACTTTGAGGCCAGGTTGACATCTTGAGCTCTTTGTCATGTTCCACAGGCCATTCTTGAGGCAGTTTTTGCAGTGTGGCATTGTGTATTGTCCTGCTAAGGGGCCACTGCCATCAGAAAGTTGCCATGAAGGGGCCGGGACATGGTCTGCAACAGTGTTTGGGTGGTTTTTAGCGTATCAAGCAGCATCCACATGACTGCCAGTACCAAAGGTTTCCAAGCAGAACACTGCACTGTAGCTAGATGATCATTGTTACTCACTTAGCCTGCCTGTGGTTTTATTGTTTCGGCTGATTGGTGCACACAGGCACGCACAGACAGAAGGAAGTATTAGAGGAAAGACAAAAGCTAGAGGAGGCAGAGAACAGGAAACGTTACCTGTGCCACATTATTGGTGCTGCCCTTGTTGTTGGTGAGCTTGAGTTTGCTGAAAGACACTTCCTGTCTCATCCAGTGAGCTCCTGTGTTGGGAGAGTCGGGGTGCATGTACATCCTGTTCCCTGTGAGTGCAAAAGCATACCGTGAGAAACATTAATAACATTCTGAAAGTATTGCATGCGGAGAAAACCACTAAAACCACTTTTATTTACGCATTCAGTGACTTAAATCTAACATCAGCCACATTTACAAACCTGCAACTTCATTCAAATGTTATAGACTGTGCACACGAATGAATCTCCCTGCTGGTACTTAATATTATTTATATGAAAAGAGAGACCAGTCTCATTTATTTTTATTATTCTATTTATTGCATTAAAACATTTCTTTGCAACTAACTCTTCACAGTGTATGCAAGTATGTAATGTGAACAGCAGTAGATATTGTGGATGTCATGAGCTGCCAAAATTTGTCCAAAACAATAAATCACTTTTATGTGTGTGTTTATTCAGTGTGAGGGCAAGAAACTGCTGTAATAAAAAATTTCCATAATATTTTACATAAAAAAATTCTTTGGTCGGAAAGAGTGACTATTTTCTGCTAACAGGGACAATATGGTTTTCCTTCCTTTCACATTCTATGTCTTCTTCTTGCAGGATACTGTCTCGACGCCATGATTTTTCACAGCGTCACCACAATGACCCGCTAACCTTCTACCAGCACACCACATAAGTGCACTATTAGATCTAATTGAGTATTGTTGTTTCACCACAGTTTCCACAACTATAGCACATCAGCATGTCACCTTTCCACAACACCTGGCACATGTGTGACAACACCTTACAGTGTCTCTCATTTATATAATTGTGGTTTGTCTATCATCAATCACACAAGAAATATCGTCTTGGTTGACTTGCTATCGGGGTTTTTTTTCATCTGAGGTGTGAACAGGAAGAAATAATGACTGAACAGAGGATGAGAGAACAAGGAGAATGAGATGTGGAGACATGAAAACCAAATCTGTGTCCTTTACAAAACTGAATAGAAAATAAGGACAGACAGGTCAAATCCAATGTGTATCATGAGTGGTTGAACTTAACACTGATATATCACAATATATCTGGGAGGTAGCATGAAGGGAGGCCCATTTGGTGACCAATTTAAATACTTACAGGGAGTTCAAGTAGGGAAAAAGTACTAAGAAGATACTTCTGGGTATTATGGATGATGGAAAAGTAGGGTCCAACCAGTTCAGACAAAGACAAGGTGGGTAATGATAGCTTCATTTTCATGCCCAAAGTCAGGTAACTATTAGAAAGATGTTTTCACGTCCCTTAAAGACATTTACTTTAGTGAATTCCCAATGACCCCAATGCAGTCCGTCAAAGGACAAACCACGTGTCTCCAAAATGTCAGCTTTTAACGAGCTATTTCAACTTACTGACAATGCACTTTACAGATAACGTCATGACCCGTCAAGCTGCCTAAATTCATGTTTATTTGTCATCTCTATATTTCCTGTTTTATTTTGGTAACCATTGTCTCGTCTCGTTTCAGATCCCACGTCCTGGCAAGTTTCCCTCCTTTGTGATTACTTGCCCCGCCCAAATGTGTTTCACCTGTGTCTCATTGGCTCCCTCGTCTTAGTTTATTTAAGTCCCTGTCTTCCCCTTGTTTGGGTCGTCTTTACCTTTAAGAGAGAGTTCCAGCGTTTCCCTAATGTTCCTTGTGAGTGTGTTTTTGACCGTTTTTGCCTATCAAATTGGATACTTTTGCCTGTGTGACTGAGCCTGAGCATGTACTGATCTGAGTCTGATTAAAGACCCTTTATCTGTGAGTCTGCTTTGTGAGTCCTTCACCAGTTTGTGCTTGACAGATCATCCAATAGGTTTATAGTTTATTTAGCTTATGAAATAGGGGACTTCTTCCAACCTTTAAAGAAACAGTTTAACCTTAAGTTTATCTGCATAATCCAAAATTGGAGATTCATGATTTGAATTGGACAGTGACCATGTGGTGGTTTTGAGTCTAGCCCAACAGATCCTGGATTCTGGAGGCTCATATCGATATTTGAAATCTTAGAAATCACAAGTTGATTTATGGGCTGATCAGTGTTTTTTAAAGATATTTCTGGGGGTGCTTTTCTTGCCTTTATTTGATATGACAGATGTAGAGTGAAAGGGGTGGAGAGAGTGGGGATGACATGCTTTTTCTAACAATCTCTAAACGCATCCCATTTATTTGCTATTTCAAGCAACTGTGACCACGATACATACAGTACTCAACATTTTACAGTGCAGTTGACAACTTGCCAGTTCTCTGTGGTGAACAAACTACGCAACAGAAGCACTTTTTACATTACCTTGAGCCTAGTTTGGCGTTTCTGTCCTACCATCTTGTTACTTATCAGCCCACATGTACACCACTACAATATATCGGGACTGCAGTAGCTCAGTCCGTAGGGACTTGGGTCAGGAACTGGAAGTTTGCCTTCTCAAGTCTTCGCCCAGACCAAATATGGAGTGTTAATTGGTTAACTTGCTCTGACATCTCTCCATTTAATGCATATATAGGTCTTATTTGTGCATGTGTGTGTATTTCGGACCTGTGTGTTTGACAACAGAGTAAAAAAAAAAGAATTTCTTCCCGTAGATTAATAAAGTGTATCTTCTATCTGCAATAAGCTAATATTAGCCAATCTATCAGTCTAGCTCTTGAAACCTGACCCTCCCTCCATACAACATCATCCAGTTTATCAACTTTATTAAATATAATTTGCACTAATTTAACAGGTTATTTAATCCATCCTACCCTCTCATTAAACATGCACAAGATTTTCTAAAAACTGTCTCTTCCTTCTGATACGACACCATCTATCACAGAGTCTACAGTCCCTCCCTTTAGTCCTCTCACATTGCCATTCTCCATCCATCCACCAGATGCCCTCAGACCTTCCCACCTGTGCCAGTCACCTGACTTTCTCATCCACCTGCTCACCTGTTCCCAGTTTCCCTCATCAGCCCTGCAGTACACAACCAGCTCATTTCCACTCATTCCCTGACAGGATGCTGACATATGCCTTTGCTTTCCGGCCATGTGAACCTGTAGCTGATCGGTTGTGCCCCTCTTGGATCTGATGCCAAGCTGTAAGCCTGTTCCTGAACATCATGAGTAAGTTTCCCTCTGTCTTCTACCTGTCTGTGTTGAGTCCTCCTTTTGTTGCCTGGATTCACTCATTGTGTCACCTACATGCATACAGTAAATAACCCTCTCTTCCAAATTTGTGTTCCTTGATACTCATGGTTTCCTTAGCTGGAAAATGGAACAACAAAGTTACATTAAAATATGCTTTTTGATAAGGCTGATATAATCTATGATAAATGTAAATAAATGCACTTGTAGTTCCAGATTAGATGTTTTTCTAAGACATGAAGAAGTTCTTAAGTTCCATGATTAAACTTCTGCAGAATTGTGGCCAGTCTGCAACAGCTCTAAAGGAATATGTCACCCAATATTGCATACTTTGTGTTGTTTACTCACTCCCTGCAGAATGTCTGATGAAGCTGCTGACTACAAAAAAGAAAAAGAAAAAAAAATGTCCACAGAAACCTCTCAGACTACTTGTGCATCATGACGCACGTTTTGGTTTCCCTACTGTATGCATGTAGGTTTGCTACGATATTGCTAAATAAACCACTTCCTCAAGATCCTCCATGTTGCACGCACTGAGCTGAAGTCTGTTGACCAACATGCAGGGTTTCATGCTCATTAGCTGCTGTTCGATCTACTTTGTGTCAGTATCTTCTGTTGAAAGCTCCAGGAAGAAATGTGAGCATGTACTTTTTTAATCCATCACTTATATTTACTGGGGTAAGTGCCTGATTTAAGAAGGTTATCGTGTTTGGGAGGAGTATTCTGTTAAAGACTGAGAAACAATCTGAGTGACACGGCATGTTCGCAGCTCAAAATGGCAAGAATATGTGACTGAAAAGCTTTCAAAATAAAATTCCAAATGATGTGATGCTTAAAGCTCTGTTACAGGTCATGCATTAAAATACAGGAGATTTCAGAATAATACATAATTATTGACGCAATATGTTCATCGCTTTTTTGTTGGAGCTGGTAAACATGGGACTAATTTTAATTAAAGTTAATCATTTATTTTGATAGATAGATAATTTGCGTTTTTTTATTTTCTATTCCTAACATGAATCTGCAAAATTACCAAACTTTTTAAATAAAATTAGTGAAGTACAAAGTGCAATATTTCTCTCATGTGTTGAGGAAAAATACTTGTGGAAGTATTAAGTTGCATAAATTGGAATTATTCCAGTTAGGTAAAAGTAGCTCAAAGTACACTACTTGAGCACTTAGTAATCTGTCTCTTAATAACATGGTTACCATCCAGCCTTCAGGTATTAGTAATTAAGGAATCCACTGACTATATGGTTTGATTTTCACACAGTCATTTGGCAGGAAACCTAATTTATGGAATAAAAGGACAATAATTTAATTGAAACAGATTTATACAATAAAAACGATCCTAAGGTCATTCAGAGTTGGAGGCGTAAGACTTTCGGGGACTTGCATGTCATGTAATCTCTATCAACAGATATCTGCATATGAATAAAGTATGTAAAGGCTACGGGACAAAATTTTGGTTTTGTAAGTGTTCTGGTTTCTGTTTTGACCAATCAAGTTTGAGCAGGCTATGGTTGCATGCAGATAAAAAGTCAATTTGGAGAGTGAAAGAGGCAGAACGCTCAGTGCAGTCTCAGAACCCATCAGCTATTGTCAGTGATTGTCCTTTACCTTAAATTTATCAGCTTTGTTCAGATGCAGATACATGTATTTGTTTATAGAGATCAGTCGTCTCTCAACACCATTCTAGAGTCTCACGTTGCTGATCAAATTGTCAACAATGGCATGGAAGATCAAGTCTTGGCCCAAATATCTGCTGGCTAGTGACTACAAAGGAACCCTCAAAATTATGGCCATTGCCCCCAGTGGGTAAATGGTCATTAGGCCGATTGCTAATAGGTTCCAAGACTGCATATCGTGACCTCATCCAAGTATGTAACTGGTCAAAACAATGCCCCATCTTCTCCTGTGGGAAGGCCAATTAGTGTTTAAGCTTATTTTTAAATATCAGAAAGTTGCTAAGAGAGACCCTGTGTCCTCATATGAGGGCATCACAATTTGGGTTTACTTGACCTTCTACTTCTACTTTACTTAGACCTGTTGTCCTCGTTCGTGGACACTTGTTTTGTGCCATCTAGTGGTAGTAAGAGCACAATACACTAATCCATGTAAAAACAAGATGGCCGCCATCTCTGCCAAGTCAGTCTGCAGCCAACCCCGACACAAAAGTGGACAAGGTCCAAAGCCTGATCACATTTTATGATTGAAACTTGTTTATTTGTGATTAATAATGATTGTAGTTTGATATGGCAACAAATTTGACCAAGTTTAGCAACAGTAACAAGCACTGTTAATGAGGAGGTACTCCTTTGAAGACATTAGGACTTTATTATCATCTCGTTGGAGGACACTGGGACTTAATTATTGTTGACAGTGTTTAGTTTTGACAGTTTCTTATACTTACTGGGCCCTACTGATCCCAAATAGCTAGGAGAAATAAAACAAGCATACCAAACAAAAGTTCGGGTCTCAGGAGTAAAGTAATTTGTGGCACCCTTTTGTTGTGTTTTCATGTATCTTTAATAACTGTAATTTATATTCTTTAATCATGAAAATGTTCCCAGTCTTAAACATGGCACATATAGGAAAAAGAATGTGTTCTGATTTGAAACCTACCTGGCATGTTGCCCTCCGCTTTCCCACACTGGACCCACTTGCCGCCCTGATACCTCCAGTGGTGCTGATCAGCCAGGACCACGTCCACGTAGACGTTATAGTGAGCAGACGGATCCAGAACACTGATGTTGAAGCTCAGGAAGGGGAACATCCTCCTGGATAAACACAACATAAACACAAGGAAAAGCATGATTAGTCAGTGTTGGAATAAATCTAAATTATTTAGGAATTGCAAACAAAAAAACCCCATTTTTTTCTGCCTTGAAAGACTAAGAAGTGTAACAGAAATCCACTCTGACAAATTATTCAATGCAAAGTGATCCATGTTGTTGACGGTGGAAAAAACATGCAACTAATAACATGGCAGATAGTCTTTTGGTCAGCTTTTCCTAGTCTGACATGTTTTTCAAAATGACCTCCTTCAAATCATGTTTGTACAAATCATTTGTGCCACTAATGGTTCTTTTGAGCAGTCTCCCAACCAACTGCATATTTTGACAAAAAGTCCTTCCCATATGGTAAAATCAAAGTCTTATGTATTATCAAATGCAAAAAATAATGATGTCAATGAGCTCTTTAAGGATAGTAATGTATTGAAGTCAGGCAGAGGGGAGATTCCTGTTCCTGTTCTTTACTCCAGCAGCTGAAGAATCAGGAGCAGTAGTAACAGGGCGAGTGAAGGTGAATATTTAATGCTGCTGTTAATAAAAGATGCCTCAGAAGCTGCTACTGATTGCTGGAGCTTTACATGTTGAACTAGTTTGAACACAGAGGGCTTCAGTGAGACGAGGTAACCGGGAGGTCAGGGCGTCCCCTGGGCACCACGGCCCACGGAAGGAGAGGGACAGGCTGGGTTAAACCAAGAGGAAAAAAGACACACACATAAATATAAGACATGGACACCGAATTCTGAAAAGCCACAGACAGCTGTGACAGTCTGCAGCAGCATATTCATGCATACTCGACACGTTCAGAGCACATGAGGTGTTGATAGAAGCACTTAGTGCTGCAGGATTACTAACCCTGCTGGGGTGTTCCCATTTTATGTTGGAGCAAAATAAACAAAATCATTTTCTGCACTGAGTTGCCAACATGTTCTCAGCCCAACTTGTCAAATACTGCCACTTTCTCAGTGGAAGTAAGCGTTAAAATATGACGTGCTAGGTACCCCTTGTTTTTACGTTCATTTCCTTCAGTTTTGGCAACAAAAGCACGTGGTTAGGTTTAAAATAAACCATCATGGCTTGGCTTAAAATACGTACGGTTGTTACTTAAGTCATTTAACATCACATGACGTGTCACGTGACATACGTCATCACTGAGGCATGCTACACATACTAGCACACTGTTGTGTTCTTAAAATAACTCCACTGACTTTTACATTGAAAAAGAGCTGGCTCGCGGGTGAAAGTCCACAGTTTGTTTGACCCACCCACCCTACAGGGACTTTCTTGCTCTTTATACTACGTTGTTGCCAGCGGTGTAACAAACTGTCGTCAGTCAGTGTGTTTTTCATGATGACGTGAACAGTGCCTTTGTGCGTCGGTATATCACATGGACGTCCACTGATAAAGCAGTGCTACTTGACGAGTCGGGAATGAAAACGGCCCGAAGTAGCACCATTTTGCAAGAGCGACATTTTAGAGATTCGCCCTCTCGCTAATACTGATGACGCTCATGTCTGTATGGTAGGCCTAAACATGAAGCTACGGCTAGAAGTCGGCTAGCTTAGCTTAGCATAAAGGCTGGAAACCGGTAGTCTGGCTTTGTCCAAAGGTATACGAGACCAAAAGTCTACAGTTAAGTGCAGCTATGAGTTTGTACTTAAGTACAGTCATGCTTTGAGCTGAATGCCAACACACAAAAATGCTGATGTTTAGTAAGTTTACAACCTTCACCATCTTGATTTAGAGTGTTAGCATGCAAACATTTGCTATTCAGCACTAAACACAAAATACAGCTGAGGCGGATCGGCTTGTCTTTAGTTTGTGACCAAATACCTACAAAACTAAAGTATTGGACAAATCAAAGTTTTGTTTTGATGGTGGTGCTGCAGTAAAAGTAATTCATTAGGATTCATTCTCTGGGGACCATGAATTTATGCACCAAACTCCTCCTGTTGTTTGTACTAAAGGAAAGGCTCTCGGATCACCAAAGTCAGTCAGATTAATCATGGATATCTGTACAAAACCACATTATTGCTATCAACATGGCCCAATAAATTAAATAAAAAATATTCCTATCCAACACATTCTCACTCCAATCTTGTCACATGTCGACATTTGGTCATGGACTTTTCACTCTGATATGACGTGCAAGGTGCCCTGGCTGCATTGACTGACGTTCTGGGACACCGTGTCAACTTCAGCCTGTTACATGTGTTGTATGTTTTCAAAATACACTTGGTTTTCACAGGAAATGTACGGTTTGCATACAGTCTCTTTCAGAAGAAATGTATTACATTGATACAACACCACAAAGTTTTTTTCTTCAACAACAAATGCACGTGGATACATTTGGTCAATATGTGGTTTGGTTTAGAAAAAAACAAGTCAGTGGTTGTTGGGCCCATCCACCGTAATACTCAGATTTTCACCCCCTTAACTTACAGTGTTGTCCCACTGTATTTCCCCCTGTTACACAATAACGGCAACCAGCCACGTATCATGCCGTTGTGAAAGGACAGCTTTTGTGGTTGATGTCTGACGCTGGAAGTCACTGTCCAAATGCCGGTATTCGACAACTTTGTCCTGTCAGCACCTCGAAAGCTTGCTAATTAAGCCATGTCTTGTTTGTTTGATCCATACAAAAACTCTAAAAAGTCTAAAACCAACAAGTTGTGAGGGTTATGTGCTGAGACAGAACAGGCTAACTGTTTCCCCCTGCTTCCAGTCTTTATGCTAAGCTAAGCTAACTGTATCCTGGCCTGCTTTATATTTAACATACACTGTAAACCCCACTCACTTACTCAGTTTAAATTTTTTTTGGAAATGTCTTGCACTCAAAACTTTTAGTTTAGTACAATACAGTGACATAAATGTTTTAAGAAGACTAGACACAATTGACAGAAATTTTATGTCATTTTAACAAACTTTTTTGCGTTGTTTGAGCATTTAAGTCTGTGCCATATAAACATAAAAACACTGAGTACATGTTTTAACAACCATTTTTTAATTTAATTGAACCATAAACATATATATTAAGTGCACAGTGATAGTGTTGTTAATTAGCCTAAAATTGAATAGGCTTAATCAGCTTTATAAACTTAAGTCAAATGAACTCAAATATCAAAAATTGTTAGCTTAACATAAAAATTATGTCAAGCTCATAAGGGATGAGTTTTTGTGTCAATTGAACATAATGTTTTTATGTTATTTGGACAAGCTGGGACATTTGTGTCTACTTCACATGATAATTTTGTGTCATTGATGGATTTGGCTTTACAGTGTAGAGACATTAGAGTGGTACTGATCTTCTCATTTAACTCTGTGAAAGAAAACAAATGAGTGTTCGTCACAATTTCTTTTAAGAGAAATACACTCTAAATAAACCTCTGAGAGAGGACCGATTCATTTGCTTCATTCTCATTCATGCTATGTGCTTGCATATGAACATGCACTGCACTCTGGGTCTATACGAGGTCCCCAGCGTGTAGTTGGTGTTAATAAATCAGGGCAACATGTTTGACTTTTGGCCCAGCTGTTTTGCACTGGCTAATAGCACCTGAGGCTATGGAGCATTTGTAATGAGTGATGGGCAGCAATCACCCCCAGCTATCCACCCCCCTTTGATGAGACCAGTGTGAAGAGTGAGTTTTATTTTAAACCACACATCCTGCCTGAAGTATGTTTGCAGCACAATCACATGCTTTTAAAGTTATTTGTTTTATGTCACTGCAAATGAATCGAAAGAGTTCAGAAACAAGAAGGTGATTTACTGTGTTTTCTTAAATTAGTCATTGTACAAGTGCAAAGACTGTACAAAAAAAACAACCTTCCTTTTCAGAAACGCCCTCGTCTTTCTTTTCTAAGCCTTTTGCTGTGGGTGGAACAAGTAGATAAGATCATGTCTAAAGTATTTTATCTCCTGATGCTGGTCAAAAACAAGGGTGAGACTTCTAATAATAATTCATTCTGAAACATGTAAAGCACACTACATGTTTGCAGCGCTGTTTAGGCAAAGTACAAACACGTTATCTTGTCTGGATGGAGATTCATGTGTCCTCCCTGCAGCTGTGTGGTCATTTAGTGGTGTAAAAACAAGCGAGGTGTGTAAAGAGATAATGCTTTCGAGGCTACTGTTAGCAGGCTAGTGGAAAACCTGGAGGGTCCGTCTGTGTTGATGATTTTTTGTGTGTGTGTGTGTGTGTGTGTGTGTGTGTGTGTGTGTGTGTGTGTGTGTGTGTGTGTGTGTGTGTGTACATGCATGCGTTTAAACAGCAAAAAGAGTCGGTTAAAAATATATTTCCCGAACACAATGAATTTATAAAGTTAGGCAGTAGTGACAGCTGCTGTAACGGATCGCTTTGTTTTTTATTTCTGCAGGAAGCCATGGTGACATTACTCTGACACTGGGTATTAAACTTAAATACATTCAGACTGAAATGTGTCCGTGGCAGAAAATATTAAAGATCGTCAAGTATGGAAAGGTGGCATTATTCCATGACGTTCACTAAAATTGTCCAAAATTGGCAACATAAAAATGCTTCCAATTTTTGACAATTTGATTTAGGTTAAGTTCTTGTACTTCTCTTAAGACAGCTTTTAAAAGATGCTGCTGGTCATTTTATTTAATATTTTTTATTGTCAACAGATCCCAAGAATAAGATCAAAACTAACAATAAATCTATCAACAAGTAGTACGTGTGCATGACAGCCTATAGCTTCTTCCTCTGTGTCTTAGAGCTCCACTGGTGCCCCAAAACCATTAAAAACACAACAATGAGCCACACTGTTGCACTGGGTGACATGTTCCTTTGTTACCATGAACACACACTGTAGTTTATTTTGGCTCACTCAAACACACCGTGGTGCTGCCACAAATGCTCACTAGAGCAACAAAATGCAGATTAATCCACCGCTGGAAATAGAGCCCAACAAATGCACATTTTGCTCTGTTTTGAGTTACGGTTGATAAAACTATGGTGACCAACTGT